GTTTTAAAATTTCAATTTTTCCAGAAACGCCGACTTTGTGATTCTCTCTGCCAACTCTTGGGAGCATATCATCTACCGTATCGCTGCTCATGGTGACGTCATTTCCGGCCGGGTTTGCAACCTGGTGTCACCTGTTGAGCCCAGCACTTAACTCTAACCAGGTTGATTGTCAATAAACCAATCGTTCATGCTACTCGTTCTTACTATCTCATACACATCGCAACAGTCTCTCACACCATACAGTCACGACTATGGTTCCACCGACCATATTATAGTCGCGACACAGATACCGTAACCGCACTTCGATCTCAATTATCTCGGTCCTTAAGAAAGATATCAAAAAATTATCAACTGAAGAAATGTTTATGATAAAATCAGTAAAATTTTATCAGCTATTTTTTTGATATCTCTCAGAGGAAAGAAGATAAAATGGCTCAAAATTGGCGGTTCGATTGAGCTACGCGGTCGGGTGCCAGCCTTCCAACTTTAAGCTTAATTATCTCGGTTCCTTCGAAAGATATCAAAATTTTGTCAATTTTCTCCGTTCAACAATTTCAGAAAAACGAAATTACAAAATTTAGTTTTTTACTGAAAAATCTCTGCCACTCCACTGGCTTATGCTCTGGAATCTAAACTGAAGAATTTCCATACAGTAATCCTACGAGAAAACTGAATTCCTACATATTTTGAAGACTTTCTTACATTAAAATCAAGTTTCCCATCCTCGAATTAGTCTACATTTCTATTTTCAGCTTTCTAGCTCACATTCGGTGTTTGCGTACTTTTGAAGCTACAGTAACCCGCAAAACTCAAAAATCCAAAAAAACCCCTCTTTTTGGAAATTTAGCGAGTTTTTGGGACCAAATCACAAAAAACCCAATTCTTAGAATTCCAAAAAGTATGTTCCTGGCGAAAATGTTCCTAAAAATTTCTAGAAATCCACTGAACCGCATATCACAAATAATTCAAAATTTCCTGTTTTCCACTAATGATGCTTCTGATACTTGCTCATTGGAGCATAAACCACCCCGCATCAGAATATCAAAAGATTCAGAATTTCACGTCTTCTGAATTTTTGAAGAGAAAAAAAATTTTAGACAATTTTTTTACGTCATCATTTTGAAAGTCTGGTATTCTGAAAGTCCAAAAAAACTCTGAAAAAATATTCTTTGAATTTTTTCGTTTCAGAAAAATGCAAATGGGTTACGATGGCTGCTATTCGGTTCCCTCAAATTTCTCTGAAAATATTCACTATTACTATCAATTTCTCTATCTATTCCCTGCGACTTGCCTCAACTACCGTATCCTCTGGACAATTTGGGTCTCGCACCGACAATTCTACAGTACCCAATCATTTTATAATTTATACAGTATCGATTGTTTGGCGAGTATTTTGGCGATGAGTTTTGAGATTTTATTCACCAGATTGTTCCTTTATTTTCCACAATTTTGTGGGGTTTTATCAGGAATTGTTGGAAATTCGCCGATTTTTATGAGAATTTATTATTGCTCAATTAGTTATTTCAAGGCAATTAAACCTGTGGTTCACATTTTTGTGGCAATTAATCGAATGAGTTGTGTCATGTTTCCTGTTACTTATAGTCAGGTATACTGTAGAAAATTCTAAAATTCTAAAATTCTAAAATTCTACAATTCTAAAATTCTAAAATTTTAAAAATCAATTTTGAGATTTTCGAAGGTTTTATTGGGATTTTTAGATTTATCAGGCTTTTATTCTAATTTTTTTTGAGAGAGAGAGAGAGAGAGAGAACTCAAATTTTAGATTTTTAGATTTTGAAATTTAAAAAATGTGATTTTTCAATGTTTAAATTTTGGAATGCTGAAATTCTAAAATTCTAAAATTATACAATTTTAAAATTCTTAAGCTCTTAAATTGGATAAACCAGAAATTCTATGTTCAGAAATTCGAAAACAAAAATTTCCGATTTTGGAGCACTTAATATATTTTTAATCTTTGATTCTTTAGTTTCAAGGTTTTTTTCTCGAAAAATATGATTTTTGTAGATAATGTCGATGATTTATAAGTTATAACATTCTAAAATTTTTCAAATTTCACAAATTTGAAACTTCCGAATTTTCGAAGTTTTCAAAATTTCATAAAAACTAAAAATTTCAAAATTCCCAAAAGAAATTTCCAGAACTGGTCCAACAAAATGTGTATTATGGTTTTCATCATATTTGCTGCCCCATTTTTAGTGATATGGAATACTTTAATCAGTAGAAACTACCTGGGTTATTTAAATGGAGGATTCGTTATCACCTATGAAAGAGAAGTCAAATGGGTGAGCTTTCGATAGAGCGCATTTGCAATTCCATAAAATTAAAAACCTATTTTTCAGGCTTCCCTATCCCTCATGCAATTCACCCTAGTCATTCTAACAGTGCTGATAACAATGATAACCACATTTATCACTTTTCACAAATTAAGAAATATGAAAAAACGGATAAAAGCATCGGAACGATCGCTTTGTATTGCTGCCGGACTCATTTCAATGCTTTTCTTGTTTGAGGCGGTGACAGAGGTGAAATTTGGAACTGTTTCAGGGAAAAATGTGATTTTACAACTTTCGAATTTTTAATTTTCAGTCCCTCTTCGCGTTTTTCAAAGACGCTCCATGGCTAATCGACATAATGGTATACATAATGTGGTCCACATGGGATTTCCTCATCGTTGGGTGAGGGGAGAAAACTCGCTCTATTGATAAAAATACTTTTTTCAGATCCCCATTGGTCCTTCTTTTTGTCAGTAGCCAATTTCGTTATCACGTGTTAGGAATGAAAATTGGAAGGACCCAGAGAGTTTCCAGTATTCAGAATCCACCACCATCTCATCATACTTCCCATCATCATCTAACAGTATCCAGGTAACGTACACTGTGAACTTTAAGCTCGATGATCTCGGTTACTGTAAAATATATCAGAAAGTTGTCAACTGATAAAATACTTCTGGTATTATGATAAAAATTTTGTTAGTTGACTACTTTTTGATATCTCTCACAAGACAGCAGATAGATTGACTCAAAATTGGGAGTACGGCTGAGCTCGGCTTCTAACTTTTTAACTTTAAGCCTAATTATCTCAGTTACTGTGGGAGATTTCAAAAAGTTGTCAACCGGTAAAGGATTGCTTATCTTATGAGAAACATTTCATCAGTTGACAACTTTTTCATATCTTTCACAGGAACCAAGATAAATTGGCTCAAAGTAAGAGACCCTTTTATTACTGGTTTCGAGGTATTTCGAATTTTGAAATTTTGATTTTTCAAATTTTTTTCAAAATCAGAAGACGTGACTTTTTGAATCCAAAACGTTTAGATGAACTTTTTAGGAAAATCAGAATTTCTATAGAATTCTAATCTAATCCTTTTTCGAAGAAATGCTAACACATACACACAACTTCTACTTCTTTTTCCCCATCTGGTTACCCATGGCAACACCCTTCCTTTTTGGCGTCTCCTTCTTCTCGAAAACGAGCGCCTCTGGTTTTGTTACGAACACTTTATTTTTCTAGGTTTTTTGAACTTTTGGTTAAGAAAAAAGAAAAAAGCCTTCGTTCCCATGCGGACTCGAACCCGCGACCTTCTGAACGGCAGTCAGGCGCGTTAGCCTTAAGGCCACCGGGTGCAATGGAGCAAAGGTGACGGAGGGTGTACAAGAGAGTGCGCCTTTTGGCAAGCAGGGGGGGGGGCTTTCACTGTCTCGTAAATGGAAAATTAGAAATTTTCGATTTTTCTGGAAATTCTGATTTTCACGTCTTCTGAAGCGGTTGCTAGGCAGAACGCGTAACACGTTTCTTCTAACCATAAATTAAATTATTCTCTCTATTTTTTCTCTGAAGTCTCTCTTTCTCTCTGTCGGGGTTCTCTATTTTTATTCTTTCTACTGATTACTAGCTTTTTAGTTAGCTCTTGTTGTCAACAATTCGTTTCTAGAAGTTTTTGGGCTGTTTTAAACCATATTTGCAACAAAAATCAGGGCCCGGCCAGACCCCCGGGCGGATTAAACTAGATCCAGAGCCAAAAAAGGGTACTTTTTTGCGGCTCTGTATCTCGTAAAGGGCTTGAGCAATTTAAAATTTTTAAAATTTAGCTTTTTTATCATAAAATTTCACACATTTTACCAGCTGAGTACATTTTTCTAGCTTTGGTAGTCCTCGAGATATAGCGCTTCAAAGTGCCACACGCCGTCGAAATGTCTGCGTCAACTTTAAAATCACACAGCTCAAAACCTACAGTAGCTAGATAAATTAGTTAAACTGTGAAAGTATGTAAAATTTTATAAGGTTAATTTTCGTAGTTGACAAAATTTTCATAGCTACAACCATTCTTGAGATACAGCGATTTGAAGTTTCTTGTCTTCTCTCTCTCTCTCTCTCTCTCTCTCTCTCGCACTTCCTCTCACTCTCATCTTCAAAAAAAAAAATAATTTTCAGCTCTCAAATCATCCCCTGATTATAAAAATGCTGCTCTCCACAGAACTGGAATATGCAAGTTACGGGAAAAACTGCAGTTCGGAATACTCGCCTCATCTTGAAAATTTCAAATATCTGATTCAATTTTTCTATTTATTCTGTACATTATGTCTTCTGATCTACTTTATGATAGTACTACACATACAACATAAGGAAATCTATCGGAATAATATGTCTTTTTGGATTTTTTCCGCCGATTCTTTTGTGGTAAGCGATTTTTGCCATTTTTTTGAGGATTTCTGGAAAAGTCGATTTTTAGACCTAATTTTGCCAATTTTTCGACAATTTTTATTGTTTTTTCTATGAAAATCGTCAAAAAATTGAGTGGAATAGGCCAAATAACATCGCTCCGCCCACGCAACGCTGCGGCGACCGGTTTTTGCAACACTGCGGCGCGCATTTCAATTTTTTATATTTTTGAGTTTTTCTTTAGAAAAAGTGAATATTTCAGCTGTTTAGAACGTTTTAAAACAATAAAAGAAAATGAAAAACAGTTTTTTCGGGGGAAAAATCCCAAAAATTTTTGTCGAGAATTTTCGGAAAAATAGATAATTTCTCGCGGTAATTTTCGAAGAAAAAACTATTTTTTAGGTTAATTCCGAAAAAATCGATATTTGTCTTCGGTAATTTCCGGACAAAAATCGATAATTTTTTGGGAGTTTCCGAAGAAAAGCGATAATTTTTTCCGGAACTTTCGGAGAAAAAAACTATTTTTTAGGTTAATTCCGAAGAAAAATCGATAATTGCTTTTCTGGAATTTCCGGAATAAAGTCGATAAATTGATTTTTAACCTATTTTCGCCTATTTCGCTCATTTTTTGAGGGATTTGTTAATTGAAAAAACGAAACAACAGCGCATACAAAGATTGCGGCATTCGCTGTTTCAAACAAGAATGGCTTGGCGGGAAATCGAAAATTAAAAAAAAAATTCTAGACAATAATCCAAATCCTCCTGGACATTAGTGCTGTTCGTCTATTCCTCTACGTCCCTCAACTATGTCCAACATTTTCGAAAATCTTCATAAACTACAAATGTCTTAATCATATAATTTTCCCAATTTACAATTACTGCCGAGTTTTCAAAACTGTCTCTCAATCTGCACATATTCTAGTCAGATACTCTTGTGTCACTAATATATTGACTCATGAGCAGGTACAGTAATCCAAACTACGTAAAAAACGAAAGATTCATCGTTCAGAAAACGTCAAAAAAGATTCCATTGGTTATGGGGATAATTGGGTTTTTGCCAATTTTGGTGATTTGGAACACTGTTATTTCGGAAAAAGAGGTGGTTTTCTGGTACGGTGGATTCTTTACAGTGTATCATCGATATGTGCAATGGGTAAGTCCGAAAATAAAAAGTGAATAAGGGTAAAAAATTGCTTTCTGGAATCGAACCTGACATTAACTGTAGTCATTGTTGCATAACTTGCCAGATCGGACGCGCGCACAGAACGGCGAAATATTTTAGAGAAAATGAAGCGGCCGACATCTCACGGGCGATGGCGCCATCGCCTGTGAGATGTCGGCTGCTTTAGAAAAAACGTTTCTAAAATTCTAATTTAAGGAAATTTTGAATTCTGAAAAAAGGAGAATACTTTTGAGGAATTCAGAAACGTATTCCAACGGGGTTCCCAAAAATTCGGTTTTTTTGAGCAAAGTTATAGGTCTTCAAACATTGTGACAGTACAATCTTCACTAGTTTTTAAATTTTTCAGGCTAGTCTATCCTTCCTCCATCTTATTTTTCTACTTGTGGCGATTTCCATTATTCTCCTCACATCACTTCTGATCTACCGAGAATTGGATGAACATCAATTGATGAATAGTATTCAAAAATCCCTAATTATTAATACTGGATTTGTGACATTTGCACTGATGCTTCAAGCAATCTTCCAGAGCTATTATGCTCTATTCAGACACTATTCCTGGTTTCCAATGTATTTCATTGATTTCCAGTTTTTGATTTACGATGTGATGACTGTTGGGTGAGTGGTGGGGAGTGGCGTAATAAGTAAGGTTTTTTGAGCTCAATTGTCTATATTCCTATCAGAGATACCAAAATTTGGTCAACTGAAAATATTGTGCTGATATTATGACATATGACAAACATTTTAACAGTTGACAAAATTTTGATATCTCTCACAGGAACCGAGATAGTTAAGCTCAAGGCAAGGTGCCGCGGCAAAATCTGTAGTCAACCACTCGTCCATCGATCAATTGCCGGTTTATAACTTGGCTTAAACTTAGAAGTTTGGTATGAATCGTAAAATAAAATGTAGATCTTGAACAGATCTACAAAATGATATTAAATTTAATTAATTTCGAAAATTGAGTTTTGAATCAAAACACGGGAAGCAGAGGGGTATGCGAATTAATAGCGCTGGCGCTTTATGATCACTGGTAAAAAAAAACTCGGCAAGAGAATACAGTTACATTTAATATCATTTTGTAGAATTTTTCAAGTTCTTTATTTTACTTTTTGAATCAAATCAAAATTCTAATTTTGAGCTGAGTTATCAGAGCCGACGCAAGGTGGTCCCTTGATCCCCTGGTGTTGGGCGTGGCCTATTTGACAAGTGCGCTTTAATTGAGTCTATCTAGGTTTCGGTGAAAGATATCAAAAAGTTGTCAACTGATAAATCATTTCTGTTATTATGATAAACAATTTATCAGTCAACCATTTTTTGATATCTCTTACAGTAACCGAGATAAATCAAGGCAAACCTAGAAAAATAATTTTGTGGACTGATTTTCAAAATTCAAAATTTTCAGACACTATTTTTTTCCAAATTTTCCAATCAAAAAATTTTCAGATGTCCAATTATGATGCTCATATTCGCACAAAATTTCCGAGCCCATACCATGTTTGGACCACGTTCAAAAGCCACAAACGCTTCTCAACACTATCCGTTTCAGCCATTTTCAGAGGCGATCAGAAAGAAAACGGATGATCCGCCAAGACCATGCAATGCGCTGATTTTCAGCGGAATTCCTGAATAACTTCTTCCCATTTTTCTCGAAAATTTAAGAGACGAAGAGAAGCTAGACACTCTCGTTTCTCTGCGTGTCTCCCCTCTCCTTTCTCGTGTTTCTCCATTAAATTTGTACCCTTTCTTGTAGGCTCCATATCTCAAAACCTATAAAAGCTATCTAAAACGTTTCAACTAACAAAATATGTAAAATTAAACGTTAATTATTTTTGTAGTTAACAACATTTTTTATCTACTGTAGTTTTTGAGCCATGCGTCTTTGAAGTTGTAGGACTCTCCGCCTTGCGTCCAAGAGAGGAGGAAGGCGCGCCAACTTTAAAAGCGCATAACTCAAAAACTATTTCAGCTAGATAAAATTGCTCAACTGTAAAAATGTATAACACTTTATGCTAAATATTTTGCTAATTGACAACTTTTTTCGAAAGTTTCCAGTTTCTGAGATATGCTAATGAGCACACCTGATTTTGAGACTGACAGATTCACTGAAGCATGATCTGATTTTCTCTAAAATTTTTGTATCAAAATTTTTTGTCATAATTTTTTCAAACATATTTTTCGTGACTTCTACTTCCCATTACTCCTTTTTGTACAAAAAATGGCCAATTCCACAGCGTTTTTGGGCTGTAGCCATGCCTACTCGGATACAATTGAGAATTTGAAATATTTCGGTCAATTATTGTATTTGGTCCCGTCGTTTTTATTGATTGCCCGAATGATTTTTGTGATAAATGTGAAATATAATGATGATTATAATGATCATAACATTTTTTGGGGGTTTTATTCGATCGATTTGTTGTTGGTGGGTTTAGTGAGGCACAGAGAAGCGAGAATGCTATCTTTAAAGACTCATTTCTCTAAAACTATGATAGCTTTGAAAAATTTATCAATCGCAATAATTATCAGCATAAAATTGCAGAGACATTTTATTAGTTAGTAGTTTTTCAATAACTTTTACCGTTTCCGAGATATAGAGCTTGAAAGATGGGAAGAGATGCAGAGAAGCGAGAGCTCTCTCGTTTCTTTCGAAGACATATATCTCGAAAACGATCATAGCTAGGAAAAAGTTGTCAATTGCAAAATGTTTCTTATAAAATTTTAAACATGTTTACGATTTGATAAATTTATCTAGTTACATTAGTTTTTGAGATGTGCGCCTTTAAAGTTGGCGCGCCATTCTCTTTCTATGGGATGACAGTCGCGTCAACTTTAGAGGCGCATATCTCTAAAACTACAATAGCTAGAAAAAAGTTGTCAACTCCAAAAATGTTTCTTATAAAATTTTATAAATTTTATTAATGAACAAGTTTTTGATATCCGTCCCCGTTATGGAGATAAAGAGTCTTAACTCTGAAACACTTGAAAAAATGATAGCTTGTCCATGGAACGCTCTGTCTTAAGAAAAGCAAAAGCTATCCAAATTTAATTTTTGCCAAGTTGTGTGAAATTTTATGCTGATTATTTTTGCAATTTACAAATTTTTCATAGCTATCGTATTTCTAGAGATATAACGCTTTAAAGATGGGAGATATGTAGAGAAACGAAAGCACTCTGGTTTCTCTGCGTCTTTTTTAACGTGCTATCTTTGGAGGCTATTATCTCTAGAACTGTTACAGCTAGAAAAAAGTTGACAGCTGCAAAAATGATCTTCATAAAGTTTTAAACATTTTCTTAGTTGAAAATATTTTTCCAGCTTTTTTAGTTTTCAGATAACTCAAAACTTCTATTTTCAGAGCTTCTTCAACCTATTCCTTGATATTTTCTACTACCGCCTATCACTTTTTGTCCCACAAATTTGTGAGACTTTTTCATTTTTCCTTCGAGCCAACCCTCTCTTAATCCATTTCTCATTCCCGCTATGGTACTATTTTCATGCTGGAAAAATGGTGACTCAATGTATTTTATGTCTGGAAAGAATGAGTTTTAATTTGATGCCAATTAGTGGTTATCGCAAATTATGGAAGAAATTTTCAAGTTATGCTGAAATTTTAGTTTTTACATTTCCTTTTACTTTGATATGGAATATTATTATTTCGGACAAGTATATACAGTTTTACTACGGTGGATTTCAGCCAAACTATGCGAGAAGAGTTAATTGGGTTGGTTTTTTTGGAAGATATTGTCAAATTCAAATTTCTCGCAAAATTTCACTCTAGACATCAAAAACTAGAACTTTCTAGCTCAATTTTGAAGATTTTTGAGTTTTCTGGGTTACTGTAGCTTCAAAAGTACGCAAATTTTGCGAGCTACAGGGTTGAAAATTGAAATCTAGACTAATTTGAACATGAAAAAATCGATGTTGATGTTGAAAAGGTTGAAAAATTCACGTCAGATACATTTTTGTGGCTAATGTAGATCCAAATGTACGCAAACACCAATAGAAAGCTGAAAAGCTTGAAAACCAACATTTAATTCAAAATCCTCATAAAATTTTGGCCCAAACCCAAAAAACTAGAACTTTCTAGCTCAATTTTGAAGTTTTTCTAGTTTTTCGGAGTACTGTACCTTCGAAAGTACCAGGGCTGTCCAAAAGGCCGGCCTCGGCCGGCCGAAGGCCTCGCGCAATTTTGTGCGGCCGAGGCCGTCGCAAGTTCGCTTCATTGAGAAAAAGCCTCGCGAGGCCTCGGCCGGCCTCGGCCGGCCTCGCAAATATGACTTTTTTTTAATTGTTTGTTTTTTCTCGCTCTTTTTCAACAAATCACGCATTTTTTGAGAGTTTTCTCGATTTTTCGATATTTAGAGCATTAAAAAAAAGGAGGAAGTCAAGAAATCTTTTATTCAACACTGAGATAACAGGGGAGAGAAAATGACAACAAATTCAAGAAACAAAAAAAGCTTGTGTTCATGCATCAAAATCTTCAAGTCTCGCCTGTGTTGAATCGATCTTTTTCTTTGAGAATCATAAACTTTTCCAGCATTTTTAAGTCCAGGCTCTGACGATTTGGTGTGTACAAGTTTTTTATGATTGAAAAAGATCTTTCTACATCTGCTTCCGAAGCTTGAATCGCATGGACTTTTCGGCCGATTTCGTGCAAAATTGGATAGGAGCTTTCGGTTTTGTTGGGATCAATGAACCATTGAGGCATCTGAACTGTGTCTGAAATTGAATAACGGTTATAACAAATGAATAAATCGGCTTAAACCGACCATCACTGGCGTTCGAAATGTTCATGTCGCCACAGATCGATGGAAAAATCGAGAAAACTCTCGAAAAATGCGTGATTTGCTGAAAAAGAGCGAGAAAAAACAAAAAATTAAAAAAAAAAAACGCAACTTGTCGTAAAATATGCGACTTGCTGACCGTAGTCACATTTGCGAGGCTGGCCTCGGCCGACCGAGGCCGGCGAGGCTTTTTCTCAATGGAGCGCGCCGAGGCCTTTTTTCTTCGGCCGAGGCTTTTTCGAGGCCGGCCGAGGCCCGGCCGCCGTTTTGGACAGCCCTGGAAAGTACGCAAACACTGATGGCGAGCTAGAGAGCTGGAAATTGGAGTCTAGACTAATTCAAGCATGGGAAACTCGAATTTAATATCTAAACCTCTCAAAAATAAAAAGGAATTCAGATTTTCGTGTTATACATTTCCTTTTTTATAGGATTACTGTAAATGGAAAAGTACGCAAACACCACAAAAACCTCAGAAAGCTTTGAAACCAACATCCTATTCGGAATCCTTGGAAACTTTCAGTCTAAACACAAATAAACTAGATCTCTCTAGCTTTATTTTGAAGATCTTTGAGTTTTTTTGGATTACTGTAGCTTCGAAAGTACGCAAACACCGATTGCGAGCTAGAGAGCTGAAAAGTGAAACCTAGACTAACAAAAGGGTGGGAAATTCGATTTTGATGTTTAAAATTCTCAAAAATGCCCGGTTTGGTCAGAAAAAGGGTTTATTTTGTAAAGTCAAAATAATTTTTTTTTTTCAGTTTGGCACAACTGCTTGGCAATTATCCTATATGCAAATCTCCATGGGAATAACTCTTATCACAAATCTTATCACTAGTTATCATCACATTCAAAATGGAAACCCCGGAATTTTATGCAAAACTTGGTGCCTAATTTCTGGAGCTTATTTATTTTTTGGCTCAATTTTCTGCTTTTTCCATATGAAATCATTCGATTTTGAGTATCAGAATATCGTTTTTATTACTGTGTTTTTCATTTGGGATGGATTTAATATTTTGTGCGTTTTATTCTGTTTTTCTAGAAAACTCTGAAAAAAATCAGGTGAAATTTTTTCAGGAATCCTTTGATTATGATTGTTATGTACCGGCAATTGAGAAAACAAGTGTTCTGGAGGAATGAAGATGATGAGGAACATGTTATTGTAATTAGAAGGATCTAATTAAATGGCCAATTAGCGATTTTTTGTCGAAAAATAAATGTTTTCCGATCTTTTTCAAGATTTTTAAACCTTGGAATCGAGTTCCCCACTTTCAAAATAGTCTAGATTTCAATTTTAAGCGCTCTAGCTCGCATTCGGTGTTTGCGTACTTTTGAAGCTACAGTAACCCGAAAATCTCAGAAATCTTCATAATTGAGCTAGAGAGGTCTAGATTTTTTGCGTTTTGACTGAAATCTTGTAAGGAATCTGAAACTGGTGTCAATATTCAAAATTTTGAGAAGGGAAAATCAGAAAAAACTCTGATTATTAGGTCATTCTGACGTCAATCTCAAGTGCTCCAGACAATTTATTCTGATCTAAATATTATGAAAATTAGTAATCCCAGGTGGTTTCAAAAAACAAAAAACTGAAAGTTCATGAAAAATCACTCATTTTTATATCTAGGTAATTTTCTAAAATTTCAGCTGCCAGGTGGATTTTTTTGTCTGGAAAAATATTTTTGTTATTCTAACTTCATGATTTTTTGGGATTACTGTAAATTTTGAAAAATATGAATAATTTTTCGGCCATTTTCGAAGACGGTTGTGATTTATCTTATTCACCATTTTTTGAAAATTTAAAATATTTTTTTCAATTTTTCTATATAATTCCTGGAATCTTTATTCATTTGAGAATTTTATCGATTTTACTATTTCAACACCGGAAAATTTATATGATTCAGTCGTTTTTTATTATTTTCTCAATGGATTCTATTGCGGTAAAAAAATCTAAAATTCAAAAAAAAATATTTTTTTGGAATTTTGGAATTTTTGAATTTTTGAATTTTTTGATTTCAAAATTCAGATCTTTTCAGAGTTTTTTTTGGAAGTTTTTAATTCTAAAAAAAAATTCTGAAAAGTTCAGAAACTCCGAGATTCCAAAAAGTCGGAAAATTCAAAAAAACAATTACCGTAAACACTCTAATAGAACGCCACACGAATCTTTAAATTTGAGCCCATGTATCTCATTTTCTGTAAGAGATAACAAAAAGTAGTTAACTTATAAAATGTTGCTGATATCATGATAAACATTTTATCAGTTGACAACTTTTTGATATCTTTCAAAAAAAGTGAGATATGTAGGCTCAAAGTGAACAGTCCGGGTAGTGTTCCATTAGAGTGTTTACAGTATTTATTTTTTGGAATTTCAGAATTTTAGAATTTTAGAATCTTAGAATTCTAAAATTTCAAATTTCTCAGAGCCTCATCCAACTAATAATCGATATTTTCATTCAACGAATCACAATTTATATACCCCAATTGTGTCCATTTTTATATTCAACTTTTGAAAATTTCGGATTTATTCCAAATATTTATTTTCCAATTTATAATTATATGAGAGCTGCGAAATCGGTTATACAAATTTTTATGACTGTAAACCGAATGACTTGTGTCCTCGCGCCGCTCAGATATGCACAGGTGAGAGAGTGTTTGCGGACTTTTCGAAATACAGTAACCCGGAGTTTTACAAATTAGATTTCCAGGGATCTGGCATTTTTTCAAAGAATTGGACGTTTGATTTGGTTTTCTCACCCTCATGTTAGCCTAGATTCCAATTATCAGCTCTCTAGCTCGCATTCGGTGTTTGCGTACTTTTGAAGCTACAGTAACCTGAAAACACTCAAAAATCTTAAAAATTGAGCTAGAGGAATCTAGTTTTTTGTATTCAAACTAACATTTTGCGGTAGTTTCGAATTAGCTGTTGTTTTTCAAGTTCTGCGTCTTCTTAATCTACAGTAATCCAGAAAAAGTGAAAAATACAGTATTTCGAAAACAATTAAGAACTGCATCTTGACTTTCGTTTGATTTCAAATATTTTTATTGTTGAAATCAAGTTTCCCACCCCCAAATTAGTCTAAATCTCAATTTTCAGCCCGCTAGCCTGTAATCGGCGTTTGCGTACTTTCGAAGCTACAGTAACCCCAAAAACGCAAAAATCGCCAAAATTACGCTAGAGAGGTTTAGTTTTTTGTGTCAAGTACCAAATTTCACGGAGATTTTGAATTCGTTGCCGTTTCTCAAATTCTGCCTATTTTTGAACCCACCGTAATTCTGAAAAAGTGGAAAATATAGTAATCCGAGAATGATAGGGAACTACAACTTCAATTTTCGTCAATTGTCGAGCGTTTTCATTGTCAAAATGGAGTTTCCAAACGCCGAATTAGTCTAGATTTCCATTTACACCTCCCTAGCTTGCATTCGGTGTTTGCGTACTTTTGAAGATACAGTAACCCGGAAAACTCAAAAATCTTTAAAATTGAGCTAGGGAGGTCTAATTTTCGAGTTTTGACTGAAATTTTGCGGAGATTTCGAATTCAATTTTTTTTCCAGAAATCACAATAAATTTTCACAGAAAACATTCAAAAAAATATTTTTTTCAGATTTGGCGCCGATTCATCCCATTTGCAATTGGCATTATAGTTTTTTCTCCTTTTTTAGTGATTTGGAATGTTTTAATATCCTATACATTTCCAGTGTCCATTTTCGGCGGTTTTACTTTGGCCTATTCGAAAAAAGTCCGCTGGGCGAGCTTATCACTTTTTCAAATGATTTTTATGATGATTTCTCTGCTTATCACTATTTTTACAACGACTATCACTTTATACAAAATGAGAAAGTTGGAAAATCGATTAAAAAGTTCTGAAAGGACACTTTGTTTTGCTTCGTTTTATATGTCGGCTGCATTTTTAAGTGCCGCTGTGTTTCAGGTAAAAAATGGGCCTGCTGTAGGCAGAATTCTAAAAAACTAATAAAAATTTTGAAATTTTCACAAAATTCGACACTTAACAAAAAAAACTAGAACTTTTTAGCTCGATTTTAAAGATTTTTGTTCTTCTTCGGGTTACTGTAGCTTCAAAAGTACGCAAACACCGATGGCAAGCTAGGGAGCTGGAAATTGAGTTTAAAACTAATTGAGAGGTGGGATATTCAATTTTGACAATGAAAATGCGCAGAAATGCACCCAAAGAGTGTTTAAGGGGGGGGGGGGTACTGTAGTTGTTTCAGAAGTACTCGGAACTATTGAAAATGTTGGAGTTTTCTAACATTAGCACTTGATTCGGAATCCTTACAAAATTTGGCACTTACCACAAAAAACTAGAACTTTCTAGCTCGATTTTGAAGATTTTAGCATTTTTTCGGATTACTGTAGCTCCAAAAGTACGCAAACACCGGTTGCGAGCTAGATCGCTGACAATTGGGTTTTTGACTAATTTCACAATGGGAAATACGAATTTGATGTCTAAAATCGTTTAAAAACTAGTCTGAAACGGGTTACTGTAGTTAAAGTTTCCAGAGCTACTTCGCCTTCTTCAACATTGCTGCCGCGTCCACGGATTTAATTTATTTTTTACAAGGATTTTCGTTTGATGTTCTAAATGTTGGATCTCCGATTGTAATGATTCTTATCAGTGGACAATTGAGATATCATGTGATTCCAGTCAGAGGATTGGCTCCAAAAGGATCAACAGTAGTTTCGGTTTCTTCAGTCAGCCGTAAATTATAATTTTTTGGATGAAAATAATAAAAGTTTTTAAATCACCGAAACATTTGGTACTTGGCACAAAAACCTGGAACTTTTTAACTTGGTTTGAAGATTTTCGAGTTCTCCGGGTTACTGTAATTTCCAGAAAAATCATAAAAATGAATGGATTTCTGGAAATATCCCATTATATTTTTTCTGAAGATTTTCTATTTCTATTCACTCTTGGAATCTTTAAAAAAACTTAAAAAATGGATTTTGATTTTTCTGAAGGTGAGTACTTGGAAAATCATTTTTCAGGGCTCGACCTAGATTTATTTAGGTCATGGCCTAGATTTTTTTGGTCGTGATCTAGATTTTTTAGACTTGACTTTTTAGGTCAGAACTTGAATTTCAGGTCAGATTTTTTAGGTCATGACCTAGATTTTTTTAGGTCATGACCTAGATTTTTTAGGTCATGATCTAGATCTTTTAGGACCTAGATGATTTGTTAGATTTTATAGTCGTTCAAAATCGATCATATAGGATTTTCATAATATAAAGTTAAAATTAAAATTTTTAATATTCGATTCACATCTCCCAAATTTAGTTTTGCTGATAATAATAGTACTACTAATAAAATTAATATCAAACCGACTCTATTATGGTCTATTTCCCGCGTTCTTATCTTTATGTATATTTCTTCAGCTACGCTACACCACCATGTTCCTGAATAGATGATACAACTGATATTGAGTGATATGGAGGCTCGTATTGAAAATGAGAGGAAGGAAATGGGAAAAGTGTCAGACATGGAGGTTCCACCGAGAAAACCCAAGATTGAGAAGGTCATTCCAAAGAACCATTTGTCATTCCAAAGAACCATCCAATCAAGACCAAGATAATCGAAAGATTCCATAGATCTCCTATTCATAGTTTTCATCTGGGAGCAGCGAAGACAACAGCTTTGATTAGACGAATGTTCCATTGGACAAAAATCAGAGAAGACGTCACCAACGCCCTGAAGTCGTGTGTTGAATGCCAAAGAAGGAAGACGAATCCTCATGAGACCACTCACGAACCTTTTGGGATGACCGACAAGTTTGAACGCCCTGGAAAGCATTGGAACATTGATCATCTAGGTCCACTGCCAGTCACCGAGAAGGGTAATCGATACATCTTATGCTTTCGGGACCCGTTCTCCAGGTACTTGGTAGCCGAAGCCGTGGAAAGCCAGAATGCTGAAACAAAAACTGAGACTTTCATCAATCGAGTCATATCTGTGCATGGAGTGCCTGAATCAATCACGACCGACTGTGGAACAGCTTTCACCTCAACTGTGTTCAAGGAATCGATGAAGAAACTTGGAATCCACCACAAATTGGCCGCTCCTTACCATCATGCATCCAATGGAATCGTTGAACGCGCCAATCGTACGATCGAGGAATGTCTCTCTGCATACGTCAATGCCAGCCAAAGCGATTGGGATGAGTTTTTACCATTGACCATATTCTCAATAAACAACACCCCTGACAAGACGACGAAGTTGGCTGCGTCGGAAATAATCTTCGGACGAAAGCCGGACATCCCTGAGAACAACGTTCTGAAGACCCGTTATCACTACGGCGAGGACTACAATTCGAAATTGCAGAACCGACTACAGCTACTCTGGGAACAATGCAGGGAAAAGAACAAGAAGACTTCACCCCAGTATGGCAGGATCAATGAGAGACAATTGAAAGCCGGAGACAGCATTTTGGTGCAACGACAACAACCCGAGAACAAGCTAGCTCCGAAACTCAAAGGCCCGTTCAAAGTGCTCGAGATCAAAGGAAAGAACGTTCATTTCGCTGATGACAGGAAGATCATTAGAACAGCGCACAAAGACGAAATGAGAGGACTGCCTGGCCCGAAGGCTGAAGACGGAATTGAGAGACACCCATGTGGGCAAAAACCACGAAGATCAAAAAGAATTGCTGAGAAGAAGGGAGAGTGAATTTGGTTTTCTTTTGTTTTGTATGTTTCTTTCTAATTTGTTTCTTTTAAAGATCAGGAGATCTTTCTTTTTTTTAAGGGAGATGTTATCGCCTCTGATGGGAGACTGCAAACACCCTATAAAAAGGGTGCTTGCCTTCTCTTATCAGAGGTTAGAGGAGTAGAGTCATGTAGTTCTCTCTGTAATTGTATAATTTCTATCTAATAAACCTTGTTATTATTAACCGCTACCATTATTATTTACTATTCTTTAATCCCGTATATCCCACCAATAGGGGTATAACAGCAAAACGACGGGCTTTAAAACACGATTTCTCAACTTCTAGGAGGTTTTAAAGCATGAAAGTGGATGTTTTATAATTACATTAGAATATAATGACATTTTCTGTTTCAGAAAGACAACAAATTTCATGTTCTGAAATCTTCTAGAAGTAGAGAAATCGTGTTCCGTTTGGCACTGAAAACGGGATTTTCAGTACTGAAACTGATCTACTGGGTTCCCAAGGTGTTGAGGCTCTCTTGTTAATTCTTAATTCTGAAATCAAGAAAATTCAGATGGATGAACAGATCATCGATGACGACCCCGGATTTCCATCCTTGGCAACGCAAAAGGACGTCAGGATGGTACTTAGCGCTCTCGAGCAACTCAACATCAAAATGGACAAGCTAGCCGAAGCGAGGGCAGCCAGAAGGACGAAAACGATTCAGACACGACTGCGCACAATGCCAAGAGCCATACCCCAGACAATTGCTGGGCAATTTCCAATGAAGGCTAAAGTTTGCCTGAACTGTGCAATCCCCCGTTTGCCATTCGGATGCGTGGAATGCAAAGGTTTTAACCTCAAAAAAATTTGCACAAAAAGTACTGTCCTCCCAACAGTGCTTTGTGAATAATGCGGAAAGAGAGGACATCACCGCGCCGTATCCGTCAATGGAGGATCGGTTGGCTGCATCGAGCTGAACGGAAGTTGTGGTCACACATGGCCCAAATTCCAACCGGACAAGGAAAGTTTCAGAAGCTTCATCCAACGTGTCAATGAATTTGCAAACGCCAACATACGAGATATGCGTATTTTGCCAATACCACCATGATGCCGACAAATGCGGGAATGTGACCGGAATGTAAGATCGTTGGACTTGCTTAAAGCAATCAAACCTATGCCCAACATACACAAGTCGATGGACTACAAACGGTCACCAATACTCTGCGAGTAATGCGGAAAGAGAGGACATCACCGTATCCTATGCTCCAAACCACTCATCAGGATCCGCAATCACAACTAAGCGTCGGAAGCAAACTTCGCCTAAAGGGAGAGACCAGATCGACAATGAGATCAGAGACAACCACAGTTTGGATCCAGGATTTTAAATTCTATTCTTCCCTATTTTATGATATTTTGTTTATCGTTTTTTTTAATCTTTTCTGTTCTTTTTCTTCTATCCAATATTCTTTTTCATGAAATTCTTCGGTAAATTCTTATTCCCCAGTAATTTTTCCCATTCATGCCTAGTTCATGTTAATTCAAGTGGAGGACACTTCGTCTTCCAAATTCCCGAGATGTTGTAAGCACTATACTGTAGTGGTAATCACTGATAAGGGTCTCTTGCGGGCTTCACCCTCTACTCCCCATTCACCCCATTGGAGTCATATTTAACCATCAGTTAGTCTTATATATATATATAGTCCAATAAATACTATGTATCTATATCAGAACATCAGAGAGATACAATATTATTATTATAGATTCTCCAGATTACCTTAGCTTCGAAATTACGCAAACAGCGGTGGCGAGCTACAGGGCCGAAAATTGGAGTTTTTAATTTGAGGGTGGGGAACTCAAATTCGCTGATCAAGTGTTTGAAAATGAACCGGAAAGCAAGCTACAGTAATCCGAGAATAATTAAATACAGCATCCCGATTCTAGTTCATTTTTGAGCATTTTTATTGTTAAAATCGAGTTACCCATACTCAATTTAGTCTAGACTCCGATTTTCAGCCCTCTAGCTCACAATCGGTGTTTGCGTACTTTTGAAAGTACAGTAACCTGAAAAAACTCAAAAATCTTAGAAATCGAGAAAGAAAGTTCTAGTTTCTTGTGTCAAGCATTGAATTTTACAGCTATTTCAAATTTTTTGTTGGTTCTCAAACTTGAACTTATAGTAATCCTGAAAAAGTGGAAATTACAGTTACCCAAAAATAATCAAGAGCTGTATCTCGATCTTTGTCTGTTCTCAAATATTTTTATCACTAAAGCTGAGTTTCTCATACTCAAATTACTCCAGATTTCGAGTTTCAGCTCTCTAACTCGTCATTTCTTTCTGATAATTCTGATAAAAATGTATATTTCCAGTTTTTTTCAAAAAAAAAAATTAGCTTTTGAGTTCAAAAGTTTCCAGATCATTGATTTTCTAATTTTTTGCACGTTTCATCTCAAAATTCTAAGATTCCGAAAAAAATCAGATGTTTATTTTTCTGCCTGAATAATCTTATCAAAATAATTTCCTTTTTTACAACAAAACATATAATTTGATTTTTTGTATTTCTTCGAAAAATATGAGCAATTGCAATTCGTCATATTCAGTTTTTACTGAAAATTTGAAATTTTTCGTTCAATTTGCATATTTGGGTCCTGGAGTGATATTTCAGTTAAGAATATTGATTGTTTTGTTGGGAACTCAAAATCATGTTTTTTCGAAAAATTCATTTTTCATGATTTGGTCATTGGACTCGGTGGTGGTATGCTTTTGGATTACTGTAGACTGGAAACAAATATAAAACTTAAAATCAACGTAAAAATTGATGCTTGACACAAAAAACTGGAATTTTCAACCTCAATTTTGAAGGTTTTTTGGATTTTTCGGGTTACTGTAGCTTCAAAAGTACGTAAACACCGAGAACGAGCTAACGAGCTGAAAATTTAAATCTGGACTAATTTGAGGATGAAAAACTCGATTTTTACGTTAAAAATTTGCAAAAACTAAGCTCAAAAAAGTTATGAAAAAGTTTCAAAAAAATCGAAATTTTCAGAGTCTCATCCAAATGCTCCTGGATGTCTCCTTCTCCAGAATCCACATCTATTTTCCTCAACTCTGCCCAATTCTCTCAGATTTCTTAGAAAATTACTGGCTAATTCCCCATATTATTTATCCTCTCTATATTTATTGTGCAACTGCGAAAACTGTGATTCACTCATACTTGTCTATAAATCGAGCCAGTTGTGTCTTGATGCCATTAAAATATACTCAAGTGAGTTACAGATTTGAATTAGCCGTAAAATTTGGCACGTGTCACAAAAAACTAGATCTCTCTAGCTTTATTTTGAAGATTTTTGAGTTTTTTTGGATTACTGTAGCTTCAAAAGTACGCAAACACCGATGGTGAACTAGACGGCTGAAAATTGGAACCTAGACTAATTAAAGGGAAAGAAATACGTTTTTAATGCTGAAATTGCTTAGAAAGGCACCCGAAGACACTAATATGGTTTTGTAGTTCCAGGAGTACTGTAACTTTCAAAAAAAAAGTTGGAATTGTTCAAAACTAAATTATATTCTATATCCCTATGAAATTTTAGTACAAAGCCAAAAAACTAAATTTCTCTAGCTCCATTTCAAAGATTTTTGAGTTTTTTCGTGTTACTGTAGCTTCGAAAGTACGCAAACACCGATTGCGAGCTAGAGGGCTGAAAATTAAAATCGAGACTAATTTTGAGCCGTAGAAAACGAATACAACATCAAAACCACTGAAAATGTGCTGGAAAAATAGAAAATCAGAAAACTTCAGATTTGGTCAAAGCACATGAGAAAAGTTGTGATTTTCGTAGCTTTATATCCGTTTCTGTTAATATGGAATGTGATTATTTCCGAAAAATATCTGGATTATGTTTTCGGAGGATTTGTGATCAGTTATAACAAAAGAGTGATATGGGTGGGTGAGAGAGACGCAGAGAAACGAGAGAGTCTGCTTTCTCTGCGTCTTTTCTAAAAATTTTGAGCGGTTGTATCTTTGATCGTTTGTATCTCGCGAACTAAAAAAGATAGAAAAAAGTTGTCAACTGATAAAATGTGCAAAATTTTATGCTCTATATTTTTGTAAAAAAAACGTTCTGTCTAGCTTTTTTAGTTTTTGAGATACAGTTGTTCGCAATGAAGTGGGTTTTCCAGGCCAGTCTATCGAGATTTCAAATAATTTCCTTTGTTTTCACATTTTCTATCACCCTAATTTCCAATGGAATCGTTTTATCAAAAATGTGTAAACTGAAAAAACGGATGATTTCTGGAGAGAAACAATTGTGCATTGCGACGTCATGGATTACTGTAGGATTTGCGATCGCAATGATTGCTCAGGCTCATTTTGCATGGTTTCGAGAAAATCACGAGTGGGCGGAGACTTTCTATATGTTACAGTGTGTCTCTTTTGATTTGCTCAACATTGGGTAAGAGAGCAAGAATTTTAAAACTTTAAAATTCTGGAATTTTAGAATTCTAGAATTCTAAAATTCTAAAATTCCTAAAATTCTAAAAAAAAATTCCAAGATTCTAAAATTCTAAAATTCTAGAATTCTAAAATTCCAAGATTCCAAGATTCTAAAATTATAAAATTCTAAAATTCTAGAATTCTAAAATTCCAAGATTCTAAAATTCTAAAATTCTAGAATTCCAAGTGTCTAAAATTCTAAAATTCTAGAATTCTAAAATTCTAGAATTCTAAAATTCCAAGGTTCTAAACTTCTAAAATTCTAGAATTCTAAAATTCTAAAATTCTAAAATTCTAAAATTCTAAAATTCTAAAATTTCTAAAAATCTAAAAAAAAATTCCAAGTGTCTAAAATTCTAAAATTCTAGAATTCTAAAATTCCAAGATTCTAAACTTCTAAAATTCTAGAATTCTAAAATTCTAAAATTCTAAAATTCTAGAATTCTAAAATTCTAAAATTCTAAAATTCTAAAATTCTAAAATTCCAAAATTCCAAGATTCTAAAATTCTAAAATTCTAAAATTCCAAGATTCCAGATTCTAAAATTCTAAAATTCTAAAATTCTAAAATTCTAAAATTCTAAAATTCTAAAATTCTAAAATTTTTGAAGAATCTCAAACTTCAAAAGAAATCTAAATATTGAGAAATCTAAAAATCTAAAATTTCAAAAATGTTCAAAATCCTAAAAATTCTCTAAATCCAAAAAAACCGAAATTCCAATTTCTCTGAAAAATCGATATTTCAAAATATTCCAAAAATTATGAAAATTCTGAAATTCAAGTTTTTTGAAAGTGTATCTCAAAAATCTCAAAACTACTGGTATCTTTTATGCCGAATTTGCATTTCTTTTTAAATTTTGAATTTTGTTTTATTAATAAATTTTCCAGAAAAAAACCCCCAACTAAGAAAGTTGAAATTTTCAAAATTCGTTTCTTCTTCTCACAATTCGTCCAAAAATCAGACAATTCCAAAAAATTCTGCACATTCTCAGAAAAGCATTTTTTCAATTAACCAAAAAAATCATCAATTTTTGTTTTTTTTTTCGGATTTTTCTTTCAAAATTTCAGAATTTTCTGTAAATTTCTGTTTTTTCAAAACTCTTAACTCTGATTTTTTTTCCAAATATCTAAAAATTTTTTGTGTTTTCACGTACAACTTCAAAATTTCAAAAAAAATTAGTCATCTAGAACTGAAAATTACTTTTTGCTTCACCGATTTTTTCCCCAAAAAATAGTATAATTTTTCTGAAATTGAACTCTTTGGAATATTCAAAAGATCAAACTTTCTATTAAAGTTTTGATCTATTATTCCCAGAATTCCAATTTTCAAGCCTATTCCCGGAACAAGTGTTAAGCTCCGCCCCTTTTTTTCCAGCTCTCCAATTCTTATGATTCTGGCAAGTCGGGAACTTCGGAATTACGTTTTTGGAATTTCAACAAAATCTCCGAAAAATTTGCAAATTTCAACTTCAAATAATATAATTAGTCTGACCTAATTATCCCTAATTATGTCAAAATGCGACTCAGATTTTGATGCATTCACTGAAAATTTGAAATATTTCATTCAATTATTTTATCTCCTCCCAGCTGCGATTCTTCATTCAAGAGTCTTATGGATATTGATTTGGAAATATCGATCGATTTATTTGAAACAGTCATTTTATATTCTATTTGTTTTGAGCTGTTCAACTTGTTTCATTCTAGTGGTTCAGGATATTTTATTCGCTAGAGTTTTTCAATATTTTCCACAGTTTTGTGAACCGCTTGCTGAGTTTGTAAAGGTTGGTCTTTATCTCGGTTACTGTAAGAGATATGAAAACGTGATCAACTGATAAATTTTTATCATAATATCAGCAACATTTTATTAGTTGACTTTTTGATATCTTGCCCAGAAACCGAGATATATTGGGTCAGGGAACTCTTACAGACTACAGTAAATCATGTGGTCATCAATTTTGAGCCAATTATCTCGGTTCTTTCAAGAGATATCAAAAAGTCGTCAACTGACAAAGTATTTATCAATTTATTATTAACATTTTATCAGTTGACCATTTTTTTGATATCTTTTACAGTAACCGAGATAAATCGGGTCAAAGTGAAGGGGCGCTTGGGTCGCACCGCAATAATGGAAATTTTTCAAAATGTTTTCCGAATATGGTCATGGTTAAATTCACTTTGAAGCTAAAAATGAAATCCCAACGATTATTTTAAAGCGAGCTACAAGCATTTTAATTTTGCGCTCCAAGAGACTATGGGGAAGAGGGAGACGCAGAGAAACTAGCTGTCTGCGCTCTCCCCTCCCCACACACTCCAGCGCTTTCGACTGCCGAAGCGCGTAACTATCGTCCGTTCGAACTTATTTTTGGCTCATTGTGAAGAAGAAAGCCAGTCAAATTGGAAAACTATAAATTCCAGAACTATTCCATATTTCCCGCTATCTACTATCCACTGCAACAACACCTCCATTGTGCTCAACCAATAATCCAAATTCTTCTAACCGTGAATCGGATGTCATGCGTTTTACACCCATGGAAATATAGTCAGGTGAGGATTTTTTTCTCATGATTTTGCAAAAAAAATGCACATAGTAAACAAAAAAATTGCGTAGCGGTGCATGAGAAAGTTCAGGAAAACAGAAAAATGAATTTTTTGGAAAATTTTCAGATGTGGAAGCAATTTATGCCTTATGCAATATGTCTTGTTCTATTCTCCCCGTTTTTGTTCATTTGGAATATTATCATCTCCCCAAAAACGCCGGTTTATACATTCGGAGGTTTTTATATTGGATATGATAGAGTTGTTATCTGGGTAAAGGTCTTGAAACTAAAATATTCCAATTTCTCGCAAAATTTTACGCTAGAAACTAAAAACTAGAACTTTCTATCTCGATTTTGAAGATTTTTAAGTTTTTCGGGTTACTGTAGCTCCGAAAGTACGCAAACACCGATTGCGAGATGGAAAGCTGTAAACTACAATCTAGAGTAATTTATGGGTGGGAAACACAAATCTGGCAACAAAAATAGTCCAAAATACACCGAAAGAATATACTTCTGGGCTACTGTAGTTTCAGGAGTACTCAGTAAGACGTAACCCCCACAAAAATTTTGACTTTTTTTTCTGAAAACCAACCGAAAATTCAAGGTCCTTGCAAAATTTGACGCTAAATACTGAAAACTAGACTTTTCTATCTCGATTTTGAAGATTTTCGAATTTTTCGGGTTACTGTAGCTCCGAAAGTACGCAAACACCGATGACAAGCTACAAGGCTGAAAATCTCAATCTAGACCAATTTGGGGGTGGGAAATTCAAATCTGACATTCAAAATTCTTGAAAATCTCCCAAAAGTCTTCAGGCCACGATGACTCTATTTATGTTGATTCTCCGTGCTATCACTATCGTTATCACTGCAATTTGCACATTTGTTACAGTTCTCCGTTTAACTCGAATGAGTAAACGATTGGTCTCATCGGAAAGGACACTTTGTGTTGCTTCATTTTTAATTTCCGCTTGCTTTTTGGGAACTGCGGGGGCAGAGGTATCTTAATAGTTTTTCTCTTTAAAATGAGCTTAAAGCGAGCCTGAACGGATGATTTTGAGCCAAGTTACGTCACTTTGAAGTTGGAAGCGCAAAAGAGTGTGTAGAAAGAGGAGAGCGCAGGCAGCTAGATTCTCTGCATCTCCTTCTCTGTTGTCCCTCGGAAAGTTCAAATGCCTGTAACTGGCTTCAAAATATGCGTTGGAATTCGATTTTTGGTCAGTTTTGTCGGAAATTTTAAGCCGAACAAGATAAAATTTAAAATTTGCTTGTGTTCTGCTTTTGAATCAGTTGAAAACTGAGTTTATTCGATACGGGAAAAACTCAAGAACACTGAGACGCAGAGAAAAGCACTACCCCAGTTTCTAATTTCTTATTTTTTGGCTTTAAATTTGCTACAAAAAAGTCCAAAAATGAAATCCCAACGATTATTTTGAAACGAGTTACAAGCGTTTGAATTTTCGCACCGAGAGACTATGGAGAAGAGGTAGACGCAGAGAAACGGGCTGTCTACGCTCTCCCCCTTCGACACACTCTCTCGCACCTCCAACTTCAAATTAGCGTTACTCGGAAACACTCCGTTTAAACTGATTTTTCGCTCATTTTGAAGAGAAAAACAAGCCAAATCTAAAATTTAAAAGTTTTTCAGAGCATATTTGCATTTCAAGTGGTCCGTACGTCTACAAACATCAGCTATTTTTTACTTCCAATCTCTTGGGACATTCTGAATGTCGGAACTCCTATTGTTATGGTTTTGGCATCGAGCCAGTTGAGAAAGCACGTTTTTGGGAACTTCAAAAGATCAAGAAGCAACAGTAAAGTGGAAGATGTGACTATTGTAACGGGCATTTAGCAATGGAGCGAATTTGCTTTTTTGGAAAATTGGAAAAGTGGATTTTGAAAAGAAACCTTATAATTATTTGTACCTTTTCAATGTATTTTTTTCTCTTTTTTCCCCATTTTTCTGTAAATCCGGATTTTCTTTTTTTTTTAATGAAAAATAATTTTTTCTGAAAATGGAAAATTTGGATTTTTGTGATCATGATTTTTCAATACCGATTGAAAATTCAAAACTGGGAATTCATCTATTTTATTTGACAATTTCTGCGATTTTTCAAGCCAGAATCATCTATATTATCGCTTTTAAAAATGGGAATATATTCAAAAAGCAGAGCTTTTTCATGATTTTTCTGGCGGATGTGGTTACGGTAGGTCAGAAATTCGGAAATTTGAAAAAGCATGGGATGTTGGGTACGGTAGTTTTCGAAATTTCAAGATTTTAAAATTATAATTCTTGACCTGAAAAAATCTAGGTCATGACCTAAAAGAAATCTAGTTCATGACATAAAAAATCTAGGTCATGACCTAAAAAATATAGGTCATGACCTAAAAGAAATCTAGGTCATGACCTAAAAAATATAGGTCATGACCTAAAAGAAATCTAGGTCATGACCTAAAAAAATCTAGGTCATGACCTAAAAGAAATCTAGGTCATGACCTAAAAAAATCTAGGTCATGACCTAAAAAAATCTGGGTCATGACCTAAAAAAATCTAGGTCATGGTCTAAAAAAATCTAGGGCATGACCTGAAAAAATCTAGATCGTGACCTAAAAAAATCTAGGTCATGACCTAAAAAAAATCTAGGTCATGGTCTAAAAAAATCTAGGGCATGACCTAAAAAAATCTAGGTCATGACCTAAAAAAATCTAGGTCATGACCTAAAAATATAGGTCATGACCTAAAAGAAATCTAGGGCATGACCTAAAAAAATCTAGGTCATGGTCTAAAAAAATCTAGGGCATGACCTGAAAAAATCTAGATCGTGACCTAAATTTTAAAATTCTAAAAGTTCTAAAAGTTCTAAAATTCTAAAATAAAAGGCGAAATTTTGAAAATTCGGAAAACTCGAGAAGCATCCTGAAACTCAAAAATCAGTTTTTCGAAAATTCTTGAATTTTTAAAATTTTCAAAAATTTTGAAAAGCGGTTTCCTGGAATTTTGAAAGTTCTGAACTTTTCAAATTCCATTCTATTTCTAATTTTTCAAATGTTCCATTCATCCTAGTCATCCTTTCCATATTTTTCTCTCGTCCAATTAGTACCTCCCTCAATTTTGTGATTTTTTCCTGAAATTTTTGGAATCGAATTCTCTAATTTTGGATATTTATTATCCAATTCTTCGTTTTTTCAAGCGTTTCAAATTCTTCTTCAAATCCTATTCATTCTAAATCGTGCCACTTGTGTCTTATGGCCAATTAACTACAGTATCTTTTGGAAAACATATTTGAATTCTATAATTGGATTTTTGGCTTTGTTGCCTTTGCTATGGATTTGGACCATTTTGATATCAGAAAAAGCGGTCAGGCATGCTTATGGTGGATTATTTGTCACTTATGTCAGATATTTTAATTGGGTAAGTTTTTAAAGTTTTTTTAGTTCCCAAATTTATTACAAGGTCCAAAAGTTGAGACTTCGGAAATTCGAAACTCAGAAAATTCTAAAATTTTAAAATTGTAAAAAAATAAGATTACTGTAGCTTTTTGTGGAGTACTGTAGTTTGATTACTGTAGTTGTGATGTGGTTTAGATGAACTATGATACAGTTAAAGCATTGGTAATTTGTATTTTGGATTACTTTTTTTTTGGGGTACGGCGGTTGTGGATGCATTACTGTACTTTTTACTGGTTACTGTAGTTGGATTACTGTAGTTAAAAAATATTTTTGGATAGTTTTGGAAATGACAATGTTTCGATTTTTTAAAAAGTAAAATATCTGCAAATTTCGAAAATTAAAGATTACAAAGTTTCAAGGTTTCAAACTTTTCTAAAATTCTAAAATTCTAAAATTCTAAAATTCTAAAATTCTAAAATTCTAAAATTCTAAAATTCTAAAATTTTAAAATTCTAAAATTCTAAAATTCTAAAATTCTAAAATTCTAAAATTCTAAAATTCTAAAATTCTAAAATTCTGAAATTCTAAAATTCTAAATATTTAAAATTCTAAAATTCTAAAGTTCTAAATATTTAAAATTCTAAAATTCTAAAATCTAAAATTCTTAAATTTTAAAATTCTAAAACATTTCAGGCAAGAAGCACATTCTTCTTCGCAGTTCTCCGTGGAATTTCAGTAATTTTCATCGGAATTTCCACCTTAATTACCGTAATTAAAATGTCAAAAATGCAAAAACGAATGAAAGAATCCGAAAGGAAGCTTTGTTGGGCATCGATTTATTTATCCATTTGTTATGTGACACCAGCAATTACAGAGGTAATTTAAAAAGGTTAATTAGGCTAATTAATTGGCCTGATTTTGAAAAAAATTCATTTTTCTCCATTTTTTTTTCAAAATTACAGTATCAATTCTCTCAAACCTATACAATTCTACCCAATGATCACTATCTATACGGATTAACTCTTATCACATGGGATATTCAGAATATTGGGTAGGTCTTTTTTTTTTTTAATCTCATGAATTTAAAAAAATTTCAGATCCACATTCGTCATGCTCATTGTGAATGCTCCATTTCGGAAATATTTTTTCGATTTTTCAAAGAAAAAATCGGATGGGATTGAAGCCAAGAAAGCACATATTATAGCGATTTTGTCGCTGACTCATTGAATTTTTAAAATGAATTCTCTTTTTTTTTTAACCCCGAATTTCAAAATTTTAGATTTCTAGGTCATGACCTAGAAATCCATTTTCCTGTTTTCTAGGCCATGACTTAATTTTGCCCATTTTTCGGTTTTCCAGGCCGCGGCCTAGGTTTTCCCATTTTTTGATTTTCTAGGTCGTGGACTAATTTTTTTTCGGATTTCCCGAATTTTTTGAAATTCCTGAATCCACGAAAATTTCTTGGATTTCCAAATTTCGAGTTCTTTAAATAGTTTTTCGGAATTTTTCCAAAAAGTTTTGATTTTCACATTTTTCAAAGTTTCCTAAACATTTCGAAAATTCAAGAACCGATTTTTTAAATCTAAAATTCCAAAATTCGGAATTTTTGAAACTTTGAAAATTAAAAAAAAAAGCAAAACTTGAAATTTCAAAATGTTCAAGAAGTTTGAAAATTCAGAATTCGTAATTTCAAAAACTGAGAAAATTGAAAAAAGAATTTTCAAAAATTTCAAAATCTCGAAGTCTTAAAAGTTCCAGAGATACAAAAACCTTAAAATTCCACAAAATTCAAAAATCCAAAAAATTACAAAATCCTAGAAATTCCAGAAATTTCAATTTTTGACTTTATTTCCATCTATTTTTTTTCGATTCTTTAAAACTAGGTTTCCTAAAATCCTCTATTCCGTGTTTCTTAGTCCATGACCTAGAAAACTCTCCAGCCATGACGTCATCCTCATCTATCACAACAAAAGTCACGAATTCCAAGTTTTTTCCCACGAAAGTACATAAAGAATTTGGATTTTCTCATGTACCAAAATTTCTGAAATTTTTCAGATGAATGCACAAAAAGTTAGAATCAGTGAAGCAAATTTTTTTGATTCGTTCAGATTTGTCACCTTCTCATTACTCATTTTTGAGATTCCTTATTTTAGGAGTTTCGGAATTTTTTTTTCATTATTCAAAAATTCCAATTTGCCGCCAAGCTAAATAATTCAAAAAATGAGTGAAAACGCGACGGCTCTTCCGTTTGCACCGGGTTTCAGTTGTGATTTGAGTTATTCTGGAATTTTCGAAAATGTGAAATATTTATTACAATGTGCTTATATGGTACCTCCTGCTATTCTATACGCCCGGATACTGTATGTAATTTGGGTGAAAAATCGAAAAATTTATATTCAACATCAGTTTTTTGTGATTTATTCGATGGATAGTATGGTGGTGGGTTTTTGGTTAATTGGGTAATTAATTAATGGGTAATTATGGTCGTAATTCTTTTATTTGTGGTCATATTTCAATTTTTTAGACAAATGTGTATTTTCCATATTTAGAGCTTTGAAATGAGTATGATACACCCCCATGCGCCTTTAAAGTCAATTTTCAAATTTAAAGGAACATAGGCTTGTGGGTACTTATTTTGAAGCTAAAATCGAAACAAAGACAAATATGAGCTTTGTGTGGGGTGCAGCAAAAAATTGAACAAGTTTCGGTAGTTTGACATTTTTTCCAAAAATTAACAAAATGATGAAAAAGTGTCGTAATTCCTTTAATTGTAGTCCAATTCGAATTTTTAAAACAGAGTCCAATTTTTTAGGCCAAGAGCTTTGAAATGAGTTTAAACTCGACTAGATGCGCTTAACTTTGAATTTTGATCTAGACGCGACCGCAACGCGTTAATCGAATGTCAAATTCGACAAAACTAGTCGAGTTTGAGCTCATTTCGAAGCTCTCAACAAGCTAAAAAAGAATCGAAGAGTTTGACTTTAATATTTTGAAAAATAAGCGAGTTATGAGCAATTTTAGGATGTTCAGAAAAAAAAACTTGAATTGCTCATATTTTGCGAATTTTTAGAAAATTTTTAAATAAAACTTTAATATTCTTTCTAAGCTTGCTGAGTGCTTTAAAATAAATATGAACACGACTAGGTCCGCCTAACTTTGAGTTTTGATCTCCTAAACCGCGAGGCGACCGCAACGCGTTGGTGAAATTTCAAAGTCAACCAAAACTAGTCGTGTTTGGGCTTATTTTGAAGCTGAGAACGTAAAAAAACGAATATAATATTTTTTTTTTGAAGTTTAGCAAACAATTGAGCGAGTTACGGTACTTTTTGATTTAAATCAAAAATTGGATCAAATTTACAGGGTCTCCTTCTCCTTCTCCTTGACATTTTCATCACTCGTTTTTTTGTTTATGTCCCTCAACTATGTCCCGTGGCTTCAAAATTCTTCAAATCCCACCCACTATTCATGGATTTCTATTATCCATTGCTCAGCTATCTTCATTGTTGTCAACCATTAATTCAAATATTTCTGACCCTAAATCGAATGTCTTCAGTCGTTTGGCCAGTTGATCATAACAAAATTTGGAGAAAAAATCTACCATTTATTATCATATTCATACTAATCACCCCTTTTTTATTTATCTGGAATACTGTAATTTCCCCGAAAATTGTGATTTTTTATTTCGGCGGATTTTTCATGATGGGAACAAAATCAATCGAATGGGCCGATATTTCTCTATTCCTATTTTTGGTACGGTCGGTTGCCGTTGGGATTACTGTAACCTCTACAGTCATCATGTTTTTGAGAATGTCGAAAATGAAAAAACGACTGAAATCGTCGGAAAAAACGCTTTGCATTGCATGTGTCATACATTCGATCTGTTTTATGATTCCTTCGTTTTTTGAGGTTTGGCGGGATTTTGAAAATTTTCAAAAATTTTTTCCGAAAATCCCAAATTTCAGGCCCTTGCATTCTTCAACGAAGCTTATGGAAATTCATGGATCAACTTTTTGATTCAACCATTTGCATGGGATGTTTTGAATGTTGGGTACGGTTGTTTTTGAAACTTCAAGATTCTGAAAATCTGAAACTCAACAATTCAAAAATTCAAATTCATGACCTAGGTCATGAGAAAAAAAATCTAGGTCGGAAAAATCTAGGTCACGACCTAAAAAAATATAGGTTGTGAATTTTAGAATTTTCGAATTCCAGAATTTTCAAAAAAAATTTCAGATCCCCATTCATCATGATATTCGTCAGTGGCCAATTACGAAGTCACGTATTCGATTTCTCAATTTTGCGAAGCCAATCTGTGGTTACTGTACAAACGGCTACAGTAACCATGAATACTTCCAATCATTAATTTTTTTTGAATTAAAAATTTAAATTTTTTATGAAAAATAAAATAATCAAAGGCTTAGAAATTCTTGTTACTAACGCATCAAGAATCTTGTATATATTTTCACATGAATGATTTTTTCATAAATTTAAATTTTTTGAAGTCTAGAATTCATTTCTTCCTTATGAGCTAACTAAACTATACTTTTTAAACTGTCGAAAATTTTAAATCTCCCGCCAAGCTAAATAATTCAAAAATGTCCGAAAACAATGCGACGGCTCTTCCGTTTGCACCGGGTTTCAGTTGTGATTTGAGTTATTCTGGAATTTTCGAAAATTTGAAATATTTATTACAATGTGCTTATATGGTACCTCCTGCTATTCTATACGCCCGGATACTGTATGTAATTTGGGTGAAAAATCGAAAAATTTATATTCAACATCAGTTTTTTGTGATTTATTCAATGGATAGTCTGATGGTGGGTTATTTGGTTAATTGGGTAATTAATTAATGGATAATTATGGTCGTAATTCCTTTATTTGTGGCCATATTTCAATTTTTCAATTCAGAAATCCAAATGTTCGATAATTCAAAAATTTAGAGGAAATTCACACCTTCAGACTGGTCAGTGGACTCATTGGTTTTCAACGTTTTTAATTCATTTTTGGGTCACTGTAAATTTAGAAATTCAAGAACAAACAACGAATTTGAAATCGCTGCAAAATTTAACACTTGACACAAAAAACCAGAAGTTTCTATCTCGGTTTTGAAGATTTTTGAGATTTTTGGGTTACTGTAGCTTCAAAAGTACGCAAACACCGAGCGGAAAATTGGGATATAGACTGGTTCGGGAGTGGAAAACTCTAATCTGACGTTTAAATTTTTTGAAAATTTACCAGAAATCTAGACAACGAATGAATTCCTTGAAATTGAAAAAATCAAACGTTTCAGGGCCTCTTTCTCCTTCTCCTTGACATATTCATCATTCGTTTCTTCATCTATACCCCTCAATTTTGTGAATCTGGCTCCAAATTCTTTCTGTCCCACCCTATTTTAATGGATATTTATTATCCATTTTTTAATTATCTCCATTGTTGTCAACCATTAATTCAAATATTTCTGACCCTAAATCGAATGTCTTCAGTCGTTTGGCCAGTTGATCATAACAAAATTTGGAGAAAAAATCTGTCATTTATTATCATATTCATCCTTATCACTCCCTTTTTATTTATCTGGAATACTGTAATTTCTCCAAAAATTCTAATTTCCTATTTTGGCGGATTTTCTATAAACTACCAGAAGCTAGTTCCGTGGGCTGGAATGACTCTATTTTTGATGATTCTTCGATCAATTGCAGCTGGGATTACTGTAGTCTCTACAGTAATCACATTTTGGAAAATGTCAAAAATGAGGAATCGATTGAAGAAATCAGAGAAGACGTTGTGTTTTGCATGTGCCGGAACTTCGATTTGTTTTTTGATTCCAGCGATTTTCGCAGCATTTAAAACTTGGAATTCGTTTTGGGCGAAACATTGGATGTCTGATGTTTTACAACCATTTGCATGGGATGTTTTGAATGTTGGGTAAGGCAGTTTTCGTAATTTCAAAATTCTAAACTTCAAAAATTCTAATTCATGACCTGAAAAAATCTAGGTCATGACCTAAAAAAATCTAGGTCATCGCCTAAAAAATCTAGATTTTAGAATACGGATTTTTTTTGGATACTGTAGTTTGGTTATTGTAAGCTCTACAATCGAATAGATTTTAGAATTTTAGAGTTTTAGAATTTTAGAATTATAAAATTTTAGATTTCCAGAATTTTTTGAAAAAAAAAGTTTTACAGATCCCCATTCATCATGATATTTGTCAGTGGCCAATTACGAAGTCACGTATTCGATTTTTCAATTTTTCGGAATCCGTCTGTGGTTACTGTACACACGGCTACAGTAATCATGAATACATCTAGCCATTAATTTTTTTTTGAAAATTCACATTTTTCGAAAAATAAAAAGTTCAAAAGTTTGGAAATTCTTGTTACTCAAACATCAAGAATCTTGTATTTATGCTTTGCACATGAATGATTTTTTTAATCAAATTTTTTTTGAATTCTAAAATTCCTTCCTTCCTTATAAGCTAACTATATAATCTAAAAAATATTTTCGAAAATTCAAAATCTGAAAATTTAAAATTTTTTAAAAATTCGGAAACTTTTGATATTTCTAATTCGAAAATTCAAATTTCCCGCCGAGCCGAAATTCCAAAAACAATGTCCGAAAACAATGCGACGGCTCTTCCGTTTGCACCGGGTTTCAGTTGTGATTTGAGTTATTCTGGAATTTTCGAAAATGTGAAATATTTATTACAATGTGCTTATATGGTACCTCCTGCTATTCTATACGCACGGATACTGTATGTAATTTGGGTGAAAAATCGAAAAATTTATATTCAACATCAGTTTTTTGTGATTTATTCAATGGATAGTGTGGTGGTGGGTTTTTGGTTAATTAAGAGATAATTGGGGGATAAAAACAAATTCGGCAAATCGAAAACTAAAATTTGGAAACTCAAAAACTTAGAAATTCTGAAAATCGAAAATTCCGAAGTTCAGAATCTTAATTCTTCTGAAATTCTGAAATCGCTAAAGTCTCAGAATTTTTCTTTTAATGATCTGGCCACAGGACTCAAATGGGGGTGAAAAAATTTCTATATTTTTGGTTACTGCAGATTCAAAAATTCAAGAACAAACGACAAATTCAAAATCGCCGCAGAATTTATCAATTGGCACAAAAAACTAGGCCTCTCTAGCTCAATTTTGAAAATTTTCGAGTTTTTCGGATTACTGTAGCTTCAAAAGTACGCAAACAACGATTGTAAGCGAAAGAGCTAAAATTTGGAATCTAGTTTGGGGGTGTGTAACCCGAATCTGGCATTGAAACCTATTCAAAATGCGCCGCAAGTCCAAAAACGATCAAATTCCCAAAATTTTAAAAAAATTGAATTTTCAGGGTCTCCTACTTCTTCTCCTTGACATTTTCATCACTAGATTTTACGTATATATTCCTCAATTTTGTGAATCTAGCTCCAAATTCTTCCTGTCCCACCCTATTTTAATGGATATTTATTATCCATTTCTTAATTACCTTCATTGTTGTCAACCATTAATTCAAATATTTCTGACCCTAAATCGAATGTCTTCAGTCGTTTGGCCAGTTGATCATAACAAAATTTGGAGAAAAAATCTGTCATTTATTATCATATTCATCCTAATCACCCCCTTTTTATTTATCTGGAATACTGTAATTTCTCCAAAAATTCTGATTTTCTATTTTGGCGGATTTTACATAAACTACCAGAAGCTAGTTCCGTGGGCTGGAATGTCTCTATTTCTGATGATTCTTCGATCGATAGCAGTTGGGATTACTGTAGTTTCTACAGTAATCACATTTTGGAAAATGACAAAAATGAGGAATCGATTGAAGAAATCAGAGAAGACGTTGTGTTTTGCATGTGCCGGAACTTCGATTTGTTTTTTTATTCCAGCGATTTTTGAAGCTTTTAAAGCGCTGAATTCTTTTTGGGCAAAACATTGGATGGCGTATTTATTACAACCATTTGCATGGGATGTTTTGAATGTTGGGTAAGACAGTTTCAAGATTTAAAGATTCGAAATCACTGTAAAATTTGGCACTCGACACAAAAAACTAGAGCATTCTAGCTCGATTTTGAATATTTTTCATTTTTCCGGGTTACTGTAGCTTCGAAAGTACGCAAACATTAATTGCGAGCTAGATGGCTGAAAATTGGATTCTCGACTAATTTGGGGTTCGGGAGTTTGAATTTGACAATGAAATTTGTTGAAAATTTACCCGAATTCTATAAGTTTTTTTCAGCTCTCCTTTGGTCCTAATTTTTGCTAGCAATCAACTCCGTGGACATGTTTTTGGATTGAAATGTTCGGAAAAACGGAACTCGACAAAGTCGAATTCAATTTTTCTGACTTCAAATTCTTTGACGACGAGTCACAGAATTTCGAATTTCAAGAAATAATTTGTTTTCTTTTTTTAATACATTTTTTGTAGCAATGAAGTGTGAGGTTTATAATGAAAATATGTTTTTTTTTTTGAAAAATCGAAATATCAGAAAATCGAAATTTTGAAAAATGGAAAATTCGGGATTTCAAAAATTCAGGAACTCTGAAAATTTAAAATTCAAAAGTACAGAACTACCAAAAGTCCGAAACCCAAAAAATCGGAATTTCAAATCCTGAAATTTGAAAATCAAATTCTCGAAAAATGCTTTTCTGCTTTTTTCAAAATTCAGGAAAGTTTTAAATTTCGGAAACTTAAATTTTGGGATGATCAGCATTTCTAAAAAATTAAAAAGTTTCAAAAAACTCGAAATGCAAAACCTCGGAAACTCGAAAATTAAGAATTTCAGAATTTCATTTTTTTTTTCAGAAAATCTAAAAAGAATCTAAAAAGTTTTCTTGGATTACTGTAGTTTCTTGTGGAGTACTGTGGTTGCTGTACTTGTAATGATTTTTGCAGTTTGGTTACTGTAGCCTGCAGCCTGCAGCCAAACGCTTGGGAATACTGTTCCCGTAGAAATTTTCAGAAATTCGAAAAAAAAAAACTTAAATTTAAAAAAAAACTTTTAAAAAAAACAAATTTTTCAAAAATTCGAATCTGCGCGCAATTTTTCTGGAACTTCATTTTTCAGAATTTTCCAGAGTTCCCGTCAAAAACACCAAAAAAAAAACTAACTCCAATTCTGGCTCCCATTTCCACTCCACCAATATACTTCAGCTCTTCCGCATGGAAATTCACCGCCATTCCAGCCTCCTGTCCTCGTTTCAGAATTTTTTGGCTGAAAAAAAAAACTTTTTTCAATTGGAAGTTAGCAATACAGTACCTGGACTCCACCTCAAAAACATCCTTCTCACAGAAAACATCAATATTCTCCACATTTGTTAGGTTGCCCATTTTCTTTTCGGACTCGATTTGGGGAATCAGCTCGTCACAAATCATACGCGTTTGTTCTGCTTCTGTGGAGCCCTGAAATCAATAATTAAAAAAGGAAGCTGCCGCCCAGAGGAGTCGAACCCGCGACCGCACCCATGCGGCGCGCGGCAGGCAGCATCCACAGGTCCTGGGCGCGCATACGCAAAATGGATGGGCGACGGAGGACGCGCCGATGAATTGGGTACAGGGAAAGGGCGCCGGTATGGGGCATATGGGGCACACCACCGCCGCAAAGCATCTCCTCGCCTGGCTTGCTGGCACTCGATGAAATGAACTAAAACGTTGGTTGGGGGTTCCTAGAAGTATCAGTTAAGTTCTATTGTGATGTGATTTTGTTCAGGTCTTCCGATTTCGTACTTTTCCTTTATTATTCCATATTTTTTTATATTTTGAACGACATATTACTGATTTTTCGGAAGTCAATGTTTTGGTTTTGAAAAAGACTTATGGCAGTTTCCATTTAAATTTGATATGCAATCAAAAACAGAAGAAAATGGGAAAAAATTCGCTAAAAATTGTTTTTTTTCATTTGTTCAAAAAATGTCTCACTTTCACTTTTTTGAAGCATGAAAAATTGAAAATTTTTATAATTTACACTTTGTAATTATTGTATACTTACCAACTTACCTTTTACTCCACCTGAAAATACGATTTTTACAATAATTACAAAGTGAAATCAAAAAATCTCAATATCACCTATTTTGGCGAAAAACATAGCAATTGACGAGTGAAAGACATGTTTCTGCAGGAATTCAGCAATTTTTTATTCTGCCATAACTCGTTTTCACAAAAAAACATCAAAAGAATAATCGAAAAACCAGAAATTTAGGCTCGAATTGACGAAAAATTGACAAAGTTGCCGGTGTGGATTTACGGTAAACAATGCGCGCATCCGGGATTTCGGAGTGTTGTAGTCGGCCTACCGTATCAGACCCATATCGCACACATCGCCCACCCACCCAGAATCCATCTAGGATACGCGCGCATTCGGAACACTCGATTCAGCCTCTCCCGCATCGCACACATATGAGACTCATCGCAGCTCGTTGTTCGCAATATGTGTCAAACGGATTTCTAGAGGATCGCATATGGATCGAGTCCTTTATGCGCATCATCGCCCAGGACCTGTGTCGTTGCCGCCTGCGCCATGGCTGCCAATTAAGACAAAGGGGAGAGTGCAATCATATACCTTGGGAACCGCGTGAGCGCCACAGAACGTCGCCGACACTTCCAGAGGAATCGCTGGATTTTCCGTTGCCAAAACTCTCAACATCTTCATTTCAGCGTCCACATTCAGACCGTAACCACTTTTCGCTTCGAGAGTTGTCGTACCGCTACGCAGCATTTTCTTGGCAATCTAGGGGAGGGACATCTGGATACACAGACACATGGATAGACTAGACAAACCTCTTCGAAATCCGAACGAAGCTCTTTTTCAGACGCTTCGCGAGTCTTGTTCGTGGTGAACATGATGCCACCGCCCGCTTGTTGGACCTGAAAACTACCGTAACCAAAAGAATTTTTGTTTCGAAAATTATTTTTTTGAATTTTCAAAAAATCGATTTTTGTCAATTTTTCCGGAAAAATCCCAGATTTTTTATCGATTTTCGTCATTTTTCCGACAATAAAAAATCCGGAAAATCGATAATTTTCTCTCGAAGGTCCCACAACGAAAACTACCGTAATCCAAAGTTTTTTTGAATTTTCGAAACATCGATTTTTTTCAGTTTCAAAAATTTGCAGTTTTTTTCCAAAAAGAACCTTTAAAAAATCCGGAGAATCGATAATTTTCTCTCGGAGGTCCCACAACGAATACTACCGTAACCGAAGTTTTAAGAAAACTTCAGGTTACGGTAGTTGTCGCTTAGAAAAATTTTCTCTATTTTTCGACCGGAAAAATACGAAAATCAAGAAAAACAAAATTCGAAGGTCCCACAACAAAAACTACCGTAATCTGAAATGTTTCCCAAATTTTGAAAAAATCGATTTTCGCGCCTTTTTTCCACTTATTTCTGCTGAAATCGCCAAAAATATTTTTCAGGTTACTATAGTTTTTTTGAAGGTCCCACAACGAAATCTACCGTAATCTGAATTTTTAAAAAATCGTCGAAAAAAATTTCAGGTTACTGTAGTTTTTTCTTTCTTTTGTTTCCAAATTTTCGAAGCGAAAAAATACCGAAAAATTTTTTTTCCAACTTCTTCAATAAAAAATTTTCCGCAGGTCTCAACACGAAAACTACCGTACTTCCATATAAGTGGCTCCAGCCAGCTTCATCGCAAACTCATGCACACGATCCCCAGCAAAAACCGGATGCGAATGACCATCGACGAATCCAGGAATCGCGATTCCCCCATTGGAATCTAGTATTCTAACGGCTTCAGAATCTCCAGAAGAGCTCATCAACTCCTCAGCTTCGGAGTGATCTCCAATATACGCAAATTTCCCCTTGGAATCCACCAAAATCGCCAAAGATTCGCTGGCGTCGTTGAGAATCTTGATATTGCTCATACGGTCTCCAACGAGGAATTCGGTGGTGTCGTCGTCCACAATTTGGACGACTTGCTTCAGATTTTTCACAAGGAGACGGTACGACATTCTAGAAGTTTTCTAGAAATTTTGGGGATTGGAAAATTCGAAAAAGGGGAAAAAGAAGGGGGAAACAAGAAGAAATCTAAAATCAGGACCGTTTTTATTGATTCTGTTGCCGTTTCGCGCAGTCAGGCAGAACCAATAAAAGTTTATGGGCATTCTCCTAGAGAGGTCAATCAACATAAATACCTCTTTTTATTAAATACAAAAAAACACACACAACTTTTGAAGGGTTCCTGAACACGTCTTAGGACTAAAAAAGGGCCGAAAAAACAGGGAAAACTTTGGGATTTTTTGTATAAAGAGAGAATTCAAATCAAATAAATTAAAGAAGAACAATTTACAACGCTTTGGTGGGGTGGAGAAACAATTGAGGATAAAGAAAGGGAGAGAGAACGCAAGAAATCGGGAGAGAGATAGAGAACAGTAATAAATAGGAAGAAGAGAAAAATCAATAAATTACAATCCCAAATAACTTTTTATCACATTATCACAGTGTGAACCTATAAAAATTCTGTTATTTCATCGAGTGTAGAATCCCTCTAGGCCTTGGCGGTTCGAATCACTCCCTTCTTGTTCTTTCCCTGAAAAATTGATACTTTATGAGCTTTACCTAGCTTAGCTTGCAATGAGCTGCCGTATACCTCTAAAAGAGCCCGCCCACACCGTTCACTTTGAGCTCAATTATCTCGGCTCCTATAAGAGATATCAAAAATGTGACAACTGATAAAATGTTTATCATACTATCAGCTGCATTTTATCAATTGGCTAAATTTTGCTATCTTTAATAGGAACCGAGATAAATTGGCTCAAAGTTAGAAGTTTGGGGGCCCTTCTATTACAGGTTTCAGGATATCTCGATTTCTGTGAAAGATATCAAAAATCTGTCTACTGATAAAATGTATATTATACTATCAGCTACATTTTATTAGCAGACAAAATGTTGATATCTTTCATAGCTACCGAGATAATTGAGCTCAAAGTTGATTTGGCTGGCGTGACGGCGCATTTTCAGCAACGAAACTCGGTGATTTTTCAGCTAAAATCTGTCTATATTTTTTTTAATTTTGCGGGAAAATCTTCAAATTTTCTGCCGAATTTCGGACGAAAATCGGATTATCAGCTGAAAAAGCGCTCAAAAATTGGATTTTCCAGGCTCAAAATGACTGCAATTCACTGGATTTTCGTTAAGAGTATCATATTTCTTCAAATTACCTGCGCCGCCTTCTTTCCCTTTATCGGGATCGTTGCCTCCTTCACAGTTGGCCTGTTCGGAAGCTTCTTTCGCTTGTAAATACGCACGAGCCAGTTCTCAGTGGTGTACGCCTCTTCAATATACTCCAATGTGATATCCTTCTTTCCAATGACATATCCACGAGTTCTATCGAAACCACCAGCTTGATTGTATCCCACCCGAGTCTCTCCGAAGCGATAATAACTCATTTTGTACATAAGACAGTTGAGCATAGTTTCTGAAGCTCCAGCTCCAGTTGAGTACTCTCCGGAAGCGGTGAAATAGTTCTCCTCACGAATGTCCTTCGGGTGTTCTCCTTGAGCAATACGAACCATCCAGAGGAATTTGTTGATATCGTCTCCAGAATATCCAATGACTCCTCCGAAGATGACAAGAATGTAGTCGACATCAAGCTCAGTCATAATCTCATAAGCAGCAGATTCATTCGAAGACATTGCCTTTCCAACCAGAGCGATATGCGAGTTGTTCCATGTGTTATTATCAACGAGGGTAGTACGATTAGCCATTCCAGCAATTTGATAACCGTAATCCCACCAGGACATGATGCGGGCGTCATCAGCAGTGTTCTCACGGAGCCAGTGATAAGCCTCACGGAAGTCATCCATGATAATGCGGTCACCATTGGAAGTGGACGATTGGAGCACGACAGATGGGTGAGAGTAGGCGTTGGAGGTGACGTAGGTGGCGTGAACGACGAACATGAGAAGGAAGATGACGAGGATGATCGAGATGACGGTACGGACGTTTCCGGAGACGGCAGTTTCTTCTCCGTCGGCGGCATTCTGGAAATTTACATTTTTTGATGACATTTTTGGGTTTTTGAACATTGCAAAAGATACCGTATTTCCTCTAATACTACGTTTTTATCGAATTTTGTCTAAATCTTTAACTTTGAGCTCGATTATCTCGTCCCCTATAAGAGATATCAAAAATTTGTCAACTGATAAATTGTTTATCATACTATCAGCTACATTTTATCAGTTGGCAGATTTTAGATATCTCTCCCAGAAATCGAGATAATTAAACTCAAAGTTAACGGTTTGGATGGGCTTCTATTCCTTTTTCGATTTGGCTGGCGTGCCTTTGGCGCGTTTTTAGCAACGAAATTTGGTGAATTTTTCAGCTAAAATCTGTCAGAATATGCCTATTTTTTCTAATTTTGCATGATAAATCTTCACATTTCTCGTCGAATTTTAGACGAAAATTGGATTTCCAGCTGAAAATGACCCAAAAATTGAATTTTTCAGGCTCAGAATGGCGATTAAAGGAAATACGGTAATCTTGACACCCGGAAACCATAATAACAGACAAAACAAAAACACATAGACAGACAAACAAGACGCAACACAAACACTGACAGGACAGGACACATTATCAAATAGTACCCTCGATTTGACGTTCTTGGCAGCCTTATCGTACAGTTTTTCGTCTTTGGTGTTGGTTGATTGAGCAGATGAACGCTCCTTGGTCTCCTCGTCTTTCAGATATTTCTCGAATGTGTACGAGAATCCGATTCCGGCGAGAACGCAGACGGCTGGAGTGAGAGTGAGCATCAAACGGACCATAACTCCAGCAAAGTAAACGGCAGAGACGGCGTAGAGGATGACTGGAATTGTAGACGTTAAAACGATTAATTTAGCTGAATGAACTTACTGAAAACACGCTCATCGTTGACCTTCTTAATACAATACCAGAGTCCAACTGGGAAGACAGCGGCGGTGATATGAAGATCAAAGAAGAACGAGACCCAAGTGGTTGGTTGATGTTCGGATACGGAAGCAATGATTGGAATATGAATCTTGGCGTATCCGGTATCCCAGAGAGAGTAGAAACGTCCAGAGAATGGAGCAACGTATCCTCCCCAAACCAGAGCAAAGTAGACAACAACGGCGAGTCCTCCGAGAATGGTCAATCCTCCGACGAAGAGAGTCATGAACTGTTGGCGAGTGATACGGTTGCGAGCGTAGTGCATCAGAGCGACGATTTGAAGAAGTCCAAATACTCCGAAAGCTGGCATATGTTCAGAAGTGCGGACTGGTTGGAATCCGACGAATGGAACTTGCATCGAGAGGATGGTGGCAAGGCAGTAGAAGGAGGTGTAGGAGACGAAGAGACGGGAAGAGTAGCGTCCTGGAAATTCGGGATTATTATAAACTTACGGTCAATAAGACGTATTTTCAGTTGATTTTTGCTCATTTTGACCATTTTCAAGGATCCGGAGCTTGACTTTCAAGCTAGCGATCACTTTGAAAATTTTGGAGGGCATAAAAGAGCCCTAGATTGAAAACGTTGAATTCACAGATTTTTGAAAACTCCTGGTTTTTCAGCTACCGTAAACACTCTAATAGAAGGACACTATACCTATACTTTGAGCTCAATTATCTTCAATGCTATAAGAGATATCGAAAATGTCTTAACTGATAAAATGTTTGTCATCATATCGCCAACATTTCATCAGTTGGCACATTTTTGATATCTCTCATAGAAATGGAGATAATTGAGCTCAAAGAACAAGTACAGGTCAACTGAAAAATCCGTTTTTGTACTGTATAAGACATACCCATGACAATCAGAGCCAAGGCGTGAAGTGGAATCAAGTTGATGATGAAAACGTATCCTCCCCATGCGGAAACCATGTAGAAGTACGACAGAGCACACAACGAAGCCCACATAATCGAACCGGTCTTGAGGGATTTCACCCACAAGTAGTAGGTAAACTGAAGTGCGAAGATGGCAATTCCCTCGTTATCATAAGATCCGGCGACCGAGCGAGAGGTGTATCCTGGAGAGATGGCGATGAAACAGGCGGCGAACAAACCGGCTCCTGGGCTCCAAAGCTCCTTGGTGAGGAGGTAGGTGGCGATGGCGGTGAGTCCGGAGAACGTTGGTGCCAGGAAGACGCAAACTTCACGAATGTGGACGTGGAAGTTGAGAGAGTCCAGAATCCAGTGAATCAAGCCAGATGTGACCATGAGACCTGGGTAAACGGTTCCTCCAACGATACGACCCAACGGATACCAGGCGCGCTCATCGAACCAATTCAAGAACTTGTAGAATCCATGCTGAACCATATGGTGGGTTGCACGATAGTTGAACCATGGATCGAACTCGTGAATGATCGACTCGAACCGGACAATGGCGAAGAGACGCGAGGCAAAACCGACGAACCAGGCCAACGCCAGAATGACGATGGTCAGGAGCGTCGTCGCACCCAACTGACTGCTTCGGGACGCCGTTATTGATGTCATTACCTGGAAAAATTTTGGAATTAAACGTTTTAGGCAGGACGAGAGAATGAGATGAAGTTGACAAGATACAACATAAGGGGTAGATGTCTAAAAGATGAGTTTTAAAGCTTAAAAATTGTTTTTATGGTGTATTTATTCAAAAAACAAACAAGAAAACCTAAAAATTCCATCTGAACAACTAGAAAATTCCCCTTCCCATTTTTTGACTTATTTCCGGTCAGCAATCGACGAATTTTTGGTTTTTAAACCTCCCAAGACCGATTTTTCCATTCAAAATCTGGATTTTTTCGAAGTTTAAAGCAGTACAATCGAAAATATGGTTAGATGACGTCGATTAAAGAAAATAGTACCTAAAATATACATTTAACACCTAAAAATTGGTTTTTTTATACTGCTATGGATGTAATTATTAGAAAAAACTAACGAAAAACCCAAAATTCCATCTGAAAACCTAGAAAAAAAAGAGCCAAAATTTGGCCCTCATATTTTATACCATTTTTTTAAATTTATTTCGGGCGAAAAACCACTAAATTTCACTATTTCGACCTTCTAAAACCGATTTTCCATCAAAAACTGAATTTAAAGAACTTTTTTCGCTGAAAAACTATAGAAATTGAGCCATTTGGAGCAATTTACTGGCAGTTGGGAGTGTCGTGGCAAATTCAAAATACGTAGTTCCCTGCGAGACCCGCCGCTCTGCGTCTCTCTGTGTCGATTTACGGGGGGAGGTGAAAATTGTTTTTTTTCACCGTTTTTTCGATTTTGCTACATTTTCAGATGCTACTAGAATGACAATCAACGGGATATGGGAGTGGGCGAACCACGTATCACAAAAAGTAGCTGTAGAGACGCTTCGTGGGAAGGTTCTAGCCATTGGTGGGTCAAAAATTTGAAATTTAAAAAATTCAAATAAAAAAAAATTTTAGATGGACACATTTGGCTCTATGAAAGCTTGAAAGGCTGCGAAACTCATCATCAGCAAACTCCAAACTCTTATTTAATCACATTTTTTACTAGGTAATTCGGGAAAAAAAGTGTTTTTTAAAAATTTTGAAAAAATATTTTTTTTTTAAGTTTAAAAAAATTGTAAAAAATCAAATTTTCAGAATCCAACGCCTTCGAGAGCTCAAAATCACCCCAATTGTGGTTTTCGACAGTATCAGCACTAGCTCACCGGCTCATGAAGGGGCAGATCAAGAAGAATTTGTCCCTAGGAAGCGCCGGAGCTTTGGAGACTCCCTATTCACGAATCTGGCGGATCCGGTGTACAAAACTAATGTAAATAGTTAAAAAATACGGCAAATTTGATGATTTTTTTTCAATTTTTCGATTCAGATGCTCCTTTCCCAGATGGGCGTCAAAGTGATCATTTCCCCGGGCGACGGTGAGGCTCAATGTGCTCGTTTGGAGGAGTTGGAAGTCACTTCTGGATGTATTACCACGGATTTCGACTATTTTCTGTTCGGCGGAAAGAATTTGTATCGTTTCGACTTTACTGCCAGTGGAAATGTCGCACTTTTACACGATGTGGTCCATTTGTCGTTGGGAAGGATGAATATTGAGAAAAGTGAGTGTTTTGAGCTAAAAATCATGTAATTTTATTTGAAAAAAATGTCATTTTTGGGGTTTTCAGACTGAAAAACCCCGATTTTGACCAATTTTCGAGTGATTTTCGGCAATTCCGGGTCATTTTTAGTGGAAAATAGGGGTTTTAGGGTTGTTTTGTAGGTGATTTTGAGCTAAAAATCATGTAGGTTCACATAGAAAACGATGAAAAAATGCGAAAAATTAGCCAAAAATAGTCATTTTCAGCTTTTTTAGACTGAAAGAAAGCAGTTTTTGACCAATTTTTTAATCAAAAATTGTAATTTTCGACGGGTTTAGAGTTGTTTTAAATCGAAAAAGATCGTTAAAATGACGTTTGAGGCTCGAAAATGGATATTTTCAACCCAAATTTGACATTTCAGCGATTTTTAACTACCAATTTTGAGGTTATTAGGTCCATTTTTGAGCTCAGAATGACGATTCTGAAGCTGTTATGTTATGGATGGTTTTCAGTGTAAAATAAGCTATTTTTTCCATTTTTCGAGTAATTTTTGGCAATTTAGGGTCATTTTAGAGGTGATTTTGTGCTAAAAATCATCTAGATTCACATAGAAAACGATGAAAAAATTCGAAAAAATTGGTCAAAAATGATCATTTTTAAACTGAAAAAAAAACAGTTTTTGACCAATTTTTCATGACAAAAATTTCTGAAAATTGCTATTTTTTCAATCAAAAACTGGTTTTGAGCCTAAAAAGAGCGTTATAATGACATTCGATGTTTAAAATGGCGTTTTTAGCGCTCAAAATTGTTCAAATTCGCTTAAAATATCGAAATTGGGCCGAAAATAGTCTTTTTTGAGCATCGAAAGCCATTTTAACGCTACATTTTTCAACTCAAAATGACTCTAAAACCTCGAAAATGGCAATTTCCGATCTAAAAATAGCAATTTTGGAGGCATTTCGTCATGAAAATTAGTCAAAAACGAGCTTTTTTCAGTTAGAAAATTCCAAAAATGACAATTTTCGACCAATTTTTTGAATTTTTTATCTATTTTTATGTGGATCTACATGATTTTTAGCACAAAATCACCTTAAAAATTACTCGAAAGCACTTATTTTTCTCTTAAAAAATCAATAATTCCGGTTAAAAATGGTGAAAATGGCGTTTTTAGCTTCAAAAAGCGTCATTCTTGGGCTCAAAATGAGTCTTAGCGATCTCAAAATCAGTCAAAATCGCTTTAAAGTAGCCTTTTTTGAGTTTTGAAAGTCATTTTGACGATTTTTTTTGCACAAAAGAATGCTAAAAAGGACCGTTTAACACTTATTTTTTCACTAAAAAGCCCCCCTAACTGCTAAAAAATCAATGAAAATGGCGTTTTTAGCTTCAAAAAAGCGTTATTCTGGGCTCAAAAATAGTCAGAATGATCTCAAAATCAGTCAGAATCGTCTTAAATTATCGAAATTAAGTCAAAAATTGCCTTTTTTGAACATCGAAATCCATTTTAACGCTCTTTTTCGGATAGAAAACGACAATTTTTGAGCGAAACATGAGGATTACTGTAGCCTTCCAATTTTTCAAATGCTGAAATTTCCTGATTTTTCTATTCAAATTTCAAAATAATGATTCCAGAAGTCGACCGTCCGCACCTCATCTCCACAGCGATCCTCCTCGGATGTGACTATTTCCAGCGTGGCGTTCAGAATATAGGCATCGTCACCGTTTTCGACATTCTCGCAGAATTCGGAGACGATGGAAATGAAGACGTCGATCCACACGTGATTCTGGATCGATTTTATTCGTATGTGAAGGAGGAGATCCCGGCTAGATCGGAGGATAGTTCGAGGAAACTTCGGCTGAGACGGAAGAAGTTCAATTTTCCACAAGGATTTCCGAATTGTCAGGCTGTTGAGTGAGTTTTAGGCCTGAAAAGGATGGAATTTTGTAGTTTTTGAGCCAAAAAACGCTTTCCAATTGTTGAAATTTTGAATTTGGCGCATTTTCTAGCTGAAAAGAGCTGTAATTACAGTTGAGTTGAGCTGATCAGTGAGTTTTAGAGCAGAAAAGTTGTAACTTTGAAGTTTGACCTATTTTTTTTGAATTTGGCGCCATTTTTAGTCATTTTTAGAGCTCAGAACAGCTGTAATTTGAATTTGGAGCGATTTTTTGGTGTCTCAGAGTCTATGAACATTGAAAAAGTGCGAAAATTTAGTAGAATTTCGAATTTTTGGGAATTTCTTAGGTTTTTGAAATTTTCGAACTTTAGAATTCTAGAAGGCTTGAAATTATCCAAAATCGAGTATAAACGACCGGAAAAAGTGAAAAATCGGCTGCAAATAGTCTAAACTAGCTTAAAATGCCCAAAATAGCCTAAAAATGACACAAACCAGTCAACAAATGAGTCTAAAATGGCCTAAAATCATCCAAAAGTCAACAAAAATGGTATAAAAATAGCCTAAAAATGGCCTGTGCAACCTGAAAATGATATGAAATAGACCAGGAAAAACCTAAAATGGGCTAATATAGCCTAAAAATGGCTTAGAACAGCCTGTAAATGAGCCTAAATTGGCCTAAAATCATCCAAAATCCAACAAAAATGGCTTAACATAGCCCAAAAATAGCATAAAATGGACCAAAAAAGGCTGAAAATAGCTTAAATTGACCCTAAATAGCTCTAAAATAGCCTAAAATGACCTAGAATGGCCTAAAGATAGCATATAATAGCCTAAGCCAGACTGAAACTGGCGAAAAACTGCTTTGAAATAGTCCAAAATAGGCTCGAATAGCCTAGAATTTTGGAATTTCTGAATTTGAGAATTTCAAATTTTTTTTTCGAATTTTTGGAATTTTAGAATTTTTAGAATTTTAGAATTTCAGAATTTTTGAGTTTCAGAATTTCGATTTTAAAGGCAAATCATAGGCTTCTGCTGAATTTTCTTGTCCTGTTTCAACCAGGAAATTTGAAAATTGGCGCCAAATTCAAATTTTTGAGCTTCTCAAACAATTTTAAGCCATTTGTCCCTTCTGAAAATCACAACATTCAACCAATTTTTCTTCCAGAAACGCAGTGAAAATGTATCTGCAACCGTCAGTCTACCACACGATGCCACAAAGTTCTGCTGCTCCAAGTCCAGTTAGTATGGAAAAAATCGAATTAATCCTGAAAAAAGAGTGTGGATGGTCGCCGGAACGCCTTCAAAAAGAGCTATCGACGAGTGAGAGACGGACCAGAAACATCACGAATACAGTAACCCAGCCAAGGATTAATGAGTTCTTCAATTCAACGAAAATGAAGAGTTTCTCGCCGATTGTGGAGCCTTGTGACTCGTTGGACGACTATATTTCATCGAATAATAACTGGGTGAAGAAGAGAAAACGGACTGGAGAGTCTCCGAAAGTCACGCCACAGAGGAAACGGAGTGCTAAAGTTTGGTAAGGAGCCTTTGAATCGATTTGGAGAGTTCTAAAGTTGAATTTTGCTTCTTTGTAGGTTGAAAATAGTACTAAATACGCTAATTTTCGACCAAAAATTGTGAAATTTCCGGGTAAAAACTGATGAAAAAGGCATTTTTAGCTTTAAAAATCATCGAAAATTCACTTCAAATAAAGGTTTTTAAAAAAAAAGTAAGGACCTTTCAAATTGATTTGAAAAGTTTTAAGGCTGAATTTTAGCGTTTTTTAGGCGAAAAACTAGGATTTTAAACCTAAATTTTGGCTTAAAAATAGCCTTAAAAACCTAGATTTCGAGCTAAATTTTGGCTTTCAAGATAGCTTTAAAGACTGAAAATAGCTATTTTCTGCCGGTTTTTTTCCTGGCTTTTAGGCCAAAAATCAGCTTTTGATGCTAAAATTTCAGGCTTTAAAGGTGTACGGTCACACATTAGATTAGGGTTTCCATTTTTTTTCCATATTCGCGGGGGGTCAACGGGGGGCCGCGGGGGGTGAGCCCCCCGGGTGGGTGCGGGCGGGTGAATCTGTACTTGTATTGCCTACCGTAGTAGGGTTACTGTAGCAGCCGGAAGCCTTGGGATACTGTATTCGGAGCACTGTGAGACTATTTTACAATCATGTGGATTACTGTAGCGTTAAATTTTTGAAATTCTAAAATTCTGAAATCCTAAAATTCCACAATTCTAAAATCCAAAAATTCTAACTCTCTGAAAACTCTAAAATTCTAAAATTTTGAAATTTTGAAATTCTAAATTTTCTGAAATTCCAAAATTTTTTGACTATTTGAGACTATTTTGGACTATTTTTGGTTATTCTAAAGCAGTTTTGGCCATTTTCAGTCTGGTTTGAGCTATTTTTAGGGTATTCCAGGTCATTTTGGGCTATTTTGGAGCTATTTAGAGTCAATTCACTCTGAAATTCTAAAATTCTAGAATTCTGAAGTTCTGAAATTCTGAATTTTCTAAAATTCTAAGATTCTCAAGGATTACTGTAGCTCTCCAATTCTTATTTCCAGCATTCCCCACAAACCCAATCACCATGGGGTCATCACACTCGACGACTCGGATTGAAGAATTGCTCAATTGCTCATTTTAATTAAAACTCACTCATATCTTTTTTTAAAAATTTTTCCTTAAAAAAATTTTTCCCCTATTCACTACCATTTTTTTATCGCCACCACCAACCTCACCATCATTTTCAACAAACATTCCTAGAATTTTCCCCGATTTTTCCCCCGATTTTTTGTACTATATTTCCCCCAAAAATTGACTTTTTCTGCCTTTTTTCCGAGTATTTTTTCCCGTTTTTCGTCTAAAAATCCCGCTGAAATTAATATTTTTTTCCCGAAAAATCTCCTTTCTAGAATTCCGGTTTGTTTCGAAAATATTCCCAAAGTAATAATACTCTTGATTGCTCGATTTATGATGATTATTACTGGAATTTTTATAGTTTTTCTTTTTTTTTAAATTTTTCTTGGATTTTTCACAAATTTAGCGTTATCTCTGCGCATTTTTCTTATCTTTTGGCCTATTTTTTGCTGATTTTTAGGTCAAAAAATGGCGGATTTTGACCAAAAAACATCTTTTCAGACGCCGAAAAACATGAGCGACAAGCCGTTGGCATTGACCGGACCAGGAGGAGCCAGCCAGTTGCAAGATGAACAGGTAATTCGGATTTCTAGGTCATTTTAGGCCTTTTTTAGCCAATTTTTTGGCGTAAAAATCGTCAAAATGAGCCTAATAGCATTGAAAATGGATGTTTAGCCGATTTTTCGCCGATTTTAAGTCGAATTTTGAGTTAAAAAGCGCCTAAACAAGCCAATTCAGGCAATTTTCAACTAAATTTCTGGTTTCAAAATCAGCTAAAATTAGATTTCTAGACCATTTTGAGGTGGTGGCCTAACTTTCGCAAGTTAAGTTTTCTAGGCCACCACGTCAAAATAGCACAGAAATCAAATGAATGTCAGGCCATTTCTAGACCATTTTAACAACATGGTGGCCTAGAAAACTCAACCTGTGAAAGTTAGGCCACTCTGTGAAAATGGTTCAGAAATGACCTGATATTCATTCGGTGTGATTCCTAGACCATTTTTACATGATGGCCTAACTTTCGCAAGTTGAGTGTTCTAG